CCTATAAGTAATGTTACTTCTTCTTTCTAGCTCCTTTCAAGGCTTGTCATTAGTTTTCAGAAGTTTATGTCTTGCTATGAGTCTTTTTCCCCCAAACTGATTGGAGTTTACTCAGCTTATTGAATCTGTATGGCATGCATTTAATCAAGTTCAGCAAGTGCTCAGACTATTTCTTTGAGTGCATTTTCAGCCTTTCTCTCCTTTCTCTAAAACTGTACAAATGTTAACTTTTTTGTTATTTTCTACAGATCCTTGGACCTCTGTTGACACTTTTTTTCAGTCTAAGTTTTCTGCTGTTCAGATTATGTTTATTCTATCAAGCTTTCTTCACCTTCAATAATTCAATTTGCAGTCATTTTTTCCACTCTTGGGTCCATCCAATGAGACACTTATTTAACTTATTTTATTTAATAAATTCTACAATTTGCATTTAGTTCTTTATTCCACTTGTACTTGAATCAAAGCTGGGCAAAGGTGGCTCGCACCTATAATCCTAGTTACCAAGAAGGGCTGAGATTAGAGAATCACAGTTTGAAATCATCCCAGGCAGGAAAACCTACCAAATACCACTAAAAAAGCTGGAAGCAGAGCTATGGCTCAAGTGGTAGAGCACTAGCCTTAAGTGAAAGACCTAAGGGATACTGGGGACTCTGAGTTCAAGGCCCAGTGTCAGTATAGAAACAAAAATCAATTAAACCCAATGATTTGGGAGAATTCGGGAGGCAAGAGGAAGGAGAGAAGTAAGAAGTATGAGATGGAGGAAAAAGAAGAGGAGGAGGTAGAGGCACCTGCTCTTACTCTGAGTCTAAGGAGGTTAAAATATGAGAGAAGCCATTACTTAAATTGCTTGTATATACAGCAATGTTCTCTTAGGGAAGTGAAGCTCCATGAAGGCACAGGAAACACCTGAAATGTTGATATAAGAGATAAGAGCATATTCCTGATGAAAGATCACAAGTTCAGCAGATAATGTGACAGTTTAGGTTTAAGCAAGGGATAAAAATTCAGGTTAAACAAAGGAAGCATACTATGCTGGAGGATATAATTTCCCAAGATAAGGGATGACCCAGAAGAACTGGCATTCATATGGTAGCAGATTAAGGAAGGAACTAATCTATGCTCTAAATGAAAGAAAAATCTAATAGTAACAATAAATTTCATACCATAAATATCCATGCTAATGAAACTTTGCAAGTAAGACAGAATGACTAGCTTTGTAAATTTGCTTATGGCTTGAAAACAACTCACTATTCAACACTTAAGTAGTTATAGACCTAAAGAATGTATATGCTCTGTTGTATGCAAGCCTAGTAATTCCAAAATCATTCCTCATCAAAGCATATATACTATGCATAGAATTTGCAATATATCCAGGACTTGAGGGCTTAACTACCATTTGCCCAGTACTCCTATTAGTTTTCTTTCTGATAGAATTTGTGATAAATTTGTAGCAACATTTATATGTGATCTTAATTTGAGCACAATTTCTTTCTTTCTTTCCTTCCTTTCTTTCTTTCCTTTCTTCTTTTTCTTTCCTTTCCTTCCTTTCTTTCCTTTCCTTCCTTTCTTTCCTTTCCTTCCTTCCTTTCTTTCTTTCTTTCTTTCCTTCTTTCTTTCTTTTTTCTTTTTTTAATTTTTTAAATTTTTGTTGGCTGTGGGGCTTGACCTCTGGGCCTGGGCACTGTCTTTGAGCTCTTCAGCTCAAGGCTAGTGTTCTACTACTTGAGTCACAGCACCACTTCCAGTTTTCTGGTGGATAATTAGAGATAAGAGTCTCATAGACTTTCCTGCCAGGGCTGGCTTTGAACTGCAGTCCTCAGATTTCAGCCTCCTGAGTAGCTAGGATTAGAAGTGTGAGTCATCAGTTCCTGGCTATGAGCAACATTTAGTGATGGCTCCTTCTACTTCCTGATAAGTCCAGTACAGGCTCAGTTAAGCAGGACAGGACATCCAATATAGTTTCCACAGTTGAAAAAGAATAAAGGTGGAAAAAAGCAATGAGTGGGGTTTGTGTCTGGTCAAAATAGGGAAATCTGGAAAAAACATTTTTATAAAATGTATTACCAATTCTAAGAGATAACTGAAAAAAATATAAATCTAATCTTGTCTGTAAGATTATATTTTTATTTGCCCACAAAGCTGATAAAGCTAGAAAATTTCATTTGTGTGCTTATTTCCTACCTTTTCGTGGTAGCATGACAACTTTTATCTTTTTGATCTTAATTTTAAACATATATATGCACACATATATATGCGCATATATATACATATATATGCACATATATATATGGGATGTCAGCAAAATAAAAAGATAGCAGTTTCAGTTCAGGTGTAATTGAATTTTTGACACTTTAGGTAGAGCTCCAATTACATTTGACAGATTCATATTCATTTTCATTTTAAACTTCTTACGTACCATATTTTTGTGTGGTAGAATTTTTCACTTTACATTAAATAAAGGTTTGGAGTGATTGAATATTTTAATTAACCTCACTGCCTGAATACCATTTCTATCCTGGAATTAGAATCTGATAATACATTTTATAAATCAGTATAAAGCAAACATTCTGAGTAGCCTAATGTTTGTATAGCACAAAATAAGAATTTTGTTTTTAAGAATGTAACAGACACATAATAACAAATGGCTTAGCACATGTTTTAACTTGTCAAGCTCTAAGAATTAAAATGAAAATACTGTCTATAAGATCACATTTAATTTAAACTGTCACTATCCTTACTATCACTCTAAAAAGTTTTGTACAGTTTCCATCTCTTGAGGCTCTTCTACAGAAACCTGATGAAGTTAGTATTTTTCTTTTTCATTTATTTTGTAGGTAGAATTGATGGAAACATTTTACTTCTCAACCATCTAATTTTGATCATGTATTAGTATACTTACATCTCTCAATTATGTATGTTGTATTTTTTGAGAACTCAGCAAGAGTTATATTTCTGTGTGTTTAAATCTGGTGTATCTCCTGTGTTCATTTGATCTTTGTGTGTATCTTTATTCCACACAGCAAGTTTTTTTTTTTTTTGGGGGGGGGGGTCCGGTTGTGGGGCCTGAACTCTGGGCCTGGGCACTGTCTCTCAGCTCTTCAGCTCAAGGCTAGTGCTCTACCACTTGAGCCACAGCGCCACTTCCGGCTTTTTTTCTTTTTGCTTATGTGGTGCTGGGGAATCGAACCCAGGGCCTCAGGCATGCAAGGCAAGCACTCTACCACTGAGCTGCCTTCCCAGCCCCACACAGCAAGTTTTATCCAGCACAAATCAGTGTGTCAGTGTGGCTAGTAACCTCTTTAGTATGAGTCTTCTAATTTTGTTTTTTTTTCTAAAGAATTATTTTATTATTCTAGCTCCTTTGTCTTTTCATTCATTTTAGAATCATTTTGCAATATCCATAAAAATCTAACAAGACTAAAATATATTTGATATCTATCAATCATACTGGAGAATATTAATATTTTAACAATATTGTATGTTGCAATCAATGAACATACTGCATCTCTTATTCATTACACTTGTTGCATTTCTTTTATTAATGGTTTATAGTATTCAGTGTGCATACCCTGCAATATTTTGTTCATTTTTAATATAAAGGACTGAAGGTTCATTCTTGTTATTATAAATTACACTACAATGGTATGTTACTCAAATACATAAATGTATTGGATTTTAATTCTGTATTTTGAAAAGTAAAAATACTGAGAAAAAAATGTATTCATCAAAATTGTTGATAACAGAATTTTGGCTACTTGCACTTTTATAAACATTTTGTTGCTTTGTAAACAAGTAGACATTAAAGACTTTAAAAGTTCAGTTTACCATTAGGTATTGCTTAGATTCTATGCAAAGTTATTTTTTGAAATTGTAATTTTTTTTGGGGGGGGGCCGTCTGGTCGTAGGCCTGAACTCTGGGCCTGGGCACTTTCCCTCAGCTCTTCAGCTCAAGGCTATCGCTCTACCACTTGAGCCACAGTGCCACTTCTGGCTTTTTTTTTCCTGCTTATGTGGTGCTGAGGAATCGGACCCAGGGCCTCATGCATACAAGGCTTTACCACTGAGCCACCTTCCCAGCTCGAAATTGTAATTTTTTGAGTTCAATGAAAATACCAACATCAACAGCTTTGAGTGAATTAATAAAATTTAAGCACAATATGATACAATATCAATATAACAAATATAACAAAATATTCAATCAATTTGTGGTGGATGGAAGTAGTTATTATGTATTTCACCTGGCATTTAAATACATTATATTAACGTCATTAATATGTTATATTAATGATAAAATTGTTTCGTGATTTAAAACAATCATAATTTTAAATAACTTTATAGGAGCTTTAAAGTACTTTTATTATTGCATAGATTATTGGCTATGCACATGGATAAATATATATGTATACATATACATGTATGCAAGAATTGTTTCATAGAATATCATATATGTTTCCTTATCTTAACAGTTTATTACTCTCATTCTTTGTGATTTTCTCTTACACCCATTGATTAAGTGGTATATTTATTCAAGCATTCAAAATTTCAAAAGCAGGATGGCTCAGATTTGACCCCATAAGTTTAGGACCAATTTGAACAATACAAGAGTCAGTCTCCAAGGAGGTACAATTTAACAAAGCATTTCATGAATACCATGCATCTTGATCAGTGTCACCTCCTTCACCATTCTCACCCCCTTTCAACCCACTCCTTCCTTTATTTTTCTTAATTTACAACTAGTTAAAATAATGAAAATTTAAAAAATAAAATTAAATATATGAGCAAAAGGGCAACAGAGAGAAATCTTATGTTCTATGAAATAAAAAATAAAAATATAATAAATACAGTTATACTACCTACATTTCTCTATTAACTTACTAAAGCTTATTTCAAATTAGATTTTATATTGGTATAAAATATTAAATACACTATGCATGTACATCCTTTTTTACATGAAGCCATACATAGATTATAAGGTAGATATGACATACCATGTTTATCACACAAAGGGCTAATCTCAAAACCATAATTCTCATAGATGAAGCTATCCAAACGGTCATCAAACTCAATGTTCTTGGGCTCCTTCACATCTAATTAAAAATAAGGAAACATTATACTCAATATCACATCAAGAGAAACAGTGGAAATAGAAATTGAATAAATACTTTTCTCTTATAGAAAACTTCTTAGGTGAATAAATAAGTATATTTTGACATGCAATTGAAGTGACATTTTTGAAGAACATAACTAGCATTATGTGATTTTTCTTTACAATATTAAAAACATAAATCCTGGTAATAAATTCTTGGAAGTTGAATTTAAGCTATTGAAATGACATAGAATTAGGAATCTATTTGAATATACTATCTAATAATGGACTGGAATGCTTAATACATACATAGGCTTAAATATACAACAATAATTAATTCATATAGCAAAATAATTAAAATACAATTTAATAATTAATTAAATTGAATATATTATATATCAACACAATGTAACATTGATAAGATTAAGCAATATACTAAAACATGTATTTAATAAATTTTCTTGAAATGAGATAGGTTCAGATGACATTAAATACATACATTGGAAGTTCTACTTGTATCTGTTTCAAATGTTAATATATACTTTGAAGAGAATGTTAAAAATATTTACTAATAGAAGTGTGCAATTTTGAAAGATACTTTGTAGTCCCTGGGTAAAGATCAGCAGTTCAGAAAGTGCAGCTTTCAGACAACTTACATTGGAATAGTTTGTGATGGTAGAGTCTTACATAATGAATCAGTATAACTGTGTACCTGTGACTCTAAATTTCATTGTTTCCAGTTATTGCTCACTGAATTTTTAGTCCTAGCAGTCACTTGGGTAAAAGGAGTTATAAATATTAAGGTTTCTAATGCTTTTTAAACATAAAACAATCAAGAATTATCTTGAACTACTCATTTGAAATTGGCCATAATAATTATTCTGTATCTTGTTTTAAAATATTCTATACCCATAGTAGTGGTGGTATTGGTTGAACTCAGAGCCTCGTGTCTACTATATAGATGCCATACCTTTTAAGGCATGACTCCAGCCCTTTTTTTACTCCAGTTATCTTTATATTAAGGCTAGCCTAGACATTGGTTCTTTTATTTATGCTTTCCATGGAGCTGGGTTGACAGGTACTTACCACCATGCCAGCTCTGGGAGTCTCTATAACTTTGGACAGGGTTGGCTTGGAAAAATTTTTGATCTTCATTTGGGTAGCAGGTGAAATTGTAGGTGTAAGCAATCAGAGTTTGGCTCCAACATTAGCTTTTGAGTATGAGTAAAATATACTAAGACAATTCAATTATTCTGAGGTATTAAGAATCTGTTAATATATTTTAATGCAACTTGTTCATAAATCTCAAATTTCACAATACTACTTATTACTACAAATACATAAAAACTTCAATGTCTGAGTTTGGCAGAGATTTTTTGAGTTTGTGGGAGTTTTTCTTATACCTATTTATCTCTCTGTGTATAAAGCCATACTCACCGTGATTGGCAATTTACAGTGATTACTACATATTTAACATAAATATTTATTCAACTCTGAATGTGCTTTACATAAAATTTTGAGGACTTCCAGGGACAGACTTTTTATAAAGTAATTCTACCATGTGAAATAAAATGCTCTAAGTATTTCTTTTCTATGTCTCCTGAGGATGATTAATTTATCATAATTATGTGCATTATTACTTTACTGCTAGTGAATACCATAGAAACAATTAACCCTATGTCAACAAGAACTTACCATAGTACTTCGTTCACATTGACCATCAAAGTAGAAGTAGATATTTGTAAAACTAATGCATTATGTTAATTAATATGTACATCTCTATCCTAAGGGCTATTTTCTTTTACTTTTCAAATAATTAGTACGTCTGCATTAATTACTGCTTTATTCATTCATGCAATGCTTTAGCCATATAATCTGTACTGAAATTTTACATGCAAAATGCCATACAAAATCAGAAATAATGTATTTGTGTATACATTCATCAAATGTGAGATTGTTTTCAGATCAAAATATATGGCAACTGAACACTTAGCTCCTACTTTATCAACATGTATGCTGAAATGAAAATATTCAGTTAGGAAGGAATAAATATATGAATTTAAGTAACCCATGGCATAGTCAAAATTAGCAGATTTGGAATATGATTTTAGAAGCAAGGAAAAGAACATGTAATAAAGGCACATCTTGAAATTCATAATATGTGTGCATTAGGATTTTATTTCTCATGTCAGTTCAAATCACTGTTTCCCACTCATGGGTACTTTCCATTTCTCTAACTTTATTACTAACTAAGCAATTTGAGAGAACATGTAGCCTTGCTCAATGACTAGTGTCTATGGACTCAATTCTCACAGTTTCCTCTCACCAGTAATTATGTCTCCATCCCAAAACTTTAAAAGATATCACACACACACAGATGCACATATATATATATATATATATATATATGTATATATATATACATATATATATATATATATACATATATATATATCCCAAGAAAAGAAGAATTGGAAGCATTTAGAAAATTGAAAGAAGATTAGAGATATAACCTGCGCTTCGGAATGCAGTATAGCATGGGCATGACGCATGGCATTTGCTCTGGGTAAGCCAAAGTGTTTTTCCAGCAGTAAGTGTATGAAGAAAAAAAAAAATTATGCTCCACCGACAAAAGCAGCCTAGATTCAGAAAGACAATAGTTGTTCCTGACAACTAATATCAAAATGTTCTCCCAGACAGTGCAATGTGTGCAATGTGCCAAGAAAGCCTTGGATAAGATCTCCAACATATCATGAGAAATTCCTTAAAATATTTATGTATCATCAGATGTTGTGAGTATGTGGCATCAATATACAATGAAATTCCACAGAATGGAATTCTGTGTTTCAAGGCAGATATAAATTTTAGTTACAATTTTGGTTCTTTTCAATTTAATCCATAGGTAGATTTTAGGGATCTTGTGGAAAAAAAAGATTTGTCTCTATTATCCATTACTAATATCGTTTCGATCATTTCATCACTTGAATTTTTATTTTGTATGTTTAAGTGAGTAGTTGGTAAATTACTCTGACTTCTGAGAAGCCACTGTAAAAAGCAACCCAGAAATCTGGCTTTGTGGTCTGGGTTTTTATCCCAGCTCCATAACAGTAGTGCAAAAGTAACTCCATGATCATAAGTAAGTTGCTAATTTTCCCTATTCCTCAAGTGTTTCATAGTTAAAACAGGATATAATGCCCATTTCAGAGGGTTCCTGTCTTGGGGCTGCCTGAGAAACTGATATTTCAGAAGTGATCTCAGGAAATACCAGTAGTGGAATGCAGAAGTGAGATTTTTAAAAATGGAAAGACTTCAAGGAATGGTATATTATGACACAAGTTACTATTATGGGTAAACGAAGCCTAAGACAGATGTGAAACTGAAAAATCAATGCAGAATACACATCTCAGAACTATACCACACAGGCACACTGACAACTTGCCTGGCTTGGTAGAACAGGCTCTGACATCCAGAAAAAATACCTAGAAAGGCTCACAGTTATTGACAATAGGAAGAAGGTCCAGATAAAGACCAAGGGAATAACATGTCCTGAGATAATTTAAAGAAATTATGAATGAAATAAGTAGTGGAGTAGTCATAAAGCATTAATTAGTAACTATTAAGTATTACTTGACTAAATCACAAGTGTGTATCACCCATTCAATTACAAGTAAATGAACCAAACACTTCAACTAATGTCAGGTTTACATCTTCATGTGTAAAATAACGAGGATTTATTCCTGAGTGCAAGGCACACACACACACACACACACACACACACACACACACACACACACGCACGCGTGCGCACACACACACATACACACACACAGATTCAGTACTGGAATGTTGTGATATCATCAAGTAGCTTTTATGATCCATTAGAAATTTTACTATCAGTTTCCCTAAGGAAATCCTGCAACATCTCCAGGAATATTTACATCTTTCTTTGAAAGAAAGCAAGGGATATAGTCATATCATGACTTTCTTCATCTCTACTGTGGAATACTGTACCTATATTCATGTTTCCTTTATTTTACCTCCACTGGTATAAAGGAGGAAAGGTTTCTCTTCTTCATAGTTACTATTCCTTCTACCTTGACAACTCTGATCCCTGTCAATCCAGAGCTTCAGGTTCTAAGGCAACCTTACTTCGTTTATACCCTTAAACTCCTGCACAACTCTGAATTCTTCCTTCTGTTTGTACACATGCCCAAGTCTCTTCCATCTTAAAATGCTAACTTACTTGAGCGTGCAATATCATTTACTTAAGACTGTCTAACTCTCTTAATCACAGAAGTACTTAAAAAGGACTTTTACACGAAATAATATTACCTTTCAACTTAACTTTTTTTCTTGCCAAGGTCATGAAGTATCTAACAGATAATGATATTCAGTGTCAACACTGATTAAAAATGCAATGATTTTATGATACAAATTTACTGCAGTCAAATTGATAGAGATTAAAGAGCCTGTTACTACTTGGAGTTTACAAAAATTTAGGAAAACAGGTAATATCATTAATGAACTCATAATGGCAATATGAATTGAAACACAATAACTATTTTGAAGTATTAAGTTTTATATTTATATCAAAAGTCTTAACCTATGTATATCTTTAGTAAAAACCATTACTAGTAGTTTTCATAGAAATAGTAGTACATTACTAGCTAAAAATTTTTTTTGGGGGGGGAGTCTGGTCATGGGGCCTGAACTCTGGGCCTGGGTGCTGTCCCTCAGCTCTTCAGCTCAAGGCTAGCACTCTACCACTTAATCCACAGCACCACTTCTGGCTTTTTTCTTTTTGCTTATGTGGTTCTGGGGAATTGAACCCAGGGGGTCTCATGCATGCAAGGCAAGCGTTCTACCACTGAGCCACCTTCCCAGCCCCTACTAGCTAAAATTTTAAACTGGAATTCCAATATTAGACATATATTGAAAACAATTCATGATTTTCATTTTAGACTTACAATATTTAATCACTTAAAGTGATTAAGCGCTTTTTAAACTCTAACTTAAAAGCACATTTTAATATTACTGTTACAATGGATTTTTTAAATCGAAGGTCAATCTTGATATGCTGTCCATTTATAAAGGAAAGGCAGAAGGAAGCAATTATATTATTATTTCTATAAACTTTTGAAAATAAGAATTGACAAATTTGATTATTATCATAAGAATCTTATAGATCAACCAACATGTATTTGTGTTTAAAAGTAAAGGAAGAATTTGGCTTGTATATGAATATCTAATTTTGATTTTGGATCTTCAATTATGAGCTGTGAATTCATTAAGTATATTTCATCTCTCATCTGCAGTATATTTTCTATTTTATCAAATAATGTTTTCATTCTATGAAAAAGTTAATTTAGCTAATACCTACAAAATTACATGCAAAATGTAATAAAAACAACCTACTTGTTAATAGGAGGTCAATTAAAATGTCTTCCTTGGTAGGATTTATGAAATGTACAACCAAAGGTACTTGATGATCAAGAGTTGCAATTACTTTTTGTATGTCTATAGGCTTTGGAAAGAGTCCTATTCCAACAAAGTAGAACTTCCATTCTGTAAACTGGAAATGAACATTCATAATTTTTCTAATTGCATATATTTTGTTGTAACACTTAAAAACTATTAAACATAACAATTTTGTCAGGTAAGTAAAGAATTGTTAATGTAAGCAAATATATTTTCTTTCCTTTCTTACATCTCTTTCACTTTTGTGGAAAATCAATATCAATATCTCCATACTGAAAGAGAAAGGGAAAAAACTAGTATTCAAGTATGCACCTGTTTAAATGAACACGAAGTAATTTATAACAATATAAAAGTGAGTTTTTAAGGAAAACCTTATATTTCTGTTCAAAGACTTTTAAAATGGATTGTCTAACAAACTGGCACTGCATGAAGTTTCCAAAATCTTAAAGTGAATTTCAAATGAAATTAAGTTACCTGCTTTATGACAACAAAGAAGGTAAAACACAGATTGAAGTGTGTACAACTGCATGCGTATTATTTATGTATATCATCTCATACAGTACATTTTCTATTATCACATGAAAAATCATATTAAGTGGAGTAAGCCAAACCCAAAGAAACATAGGACCTATGATATCCCTCACTTGTAATTATTATTGTGTGTCTGGGATAGTCCTAGCAGCGGATCACAATAGCTCAATAGCTATATACATATGACCATATAAAATGATGCATATCAAGATGAGCTCCAAAATATGAAAATAAGCAGATCTTTGTTTTGTTTTGTTTTTTAAATGTACTGTGTGAAGTTGCTTCATTTTACTTTTGTTTTCCTTTTTCCTTTGGTTTATCCTGTTGTCATTGTTTTATTATTTTGGTACCCTGTGTTTTGTATATACATTTATCTGATTTGGGAAGGGAAGCAGAAGGATAAATGGTGAGACAAAGGCCAAAGGGTGAACCATTGCCACAGCGGTAATCACAAGACACTATGTTGGGGATGAACTTTATAACTTGGTGGGGAGGGGGAGTCAGGTGCAGTGAAAGTGGGAGAAAAATGAAGGAGGAGGTAACAATATTGGACAAGATGTACTCATTACCTTACTTATGTAACTGTAACCCCTCTGTACATCATCTTTACAATAGAATAAAAGAAAAAAATTAAGTTTTTCATATTTGTACTGTCATTTGTTAATTTGCTATTAGGTTATATTTGTCAGTTCAAACAGAATTAATCAGGTAAAGCAGAGAAGGACAGAAATCTTTTTTTTTTATTGTGAAAATACTGTACAGAGGGGTTACAATTACATGGGCAAGGTAATGAGTACATTTCTTATCAAGCATAGTTGCCTCCTCCTTTGTTTCCCCTTACCATCCTTCTCATCTCCCCCTCATATTTCCTCCCCCCCCCCTGCTGGGCCAAATTGTAAGGTTCGTTTTTTGACATAACGTCTTGTACATCTCATTGTTGCAATGGGTCCTCCAAGGACTGAAATCTTTACATTTTTTTTCTTTCCAATGGTAGAAGGTATTCCAAACTCTTAGACTTAGGAAAATAAATTCTGAAGCTTCATTTAAAAGGATCTTCTATACTATTCATAACAGTGAATTTTTTTAAAATTTCAATTAATACTTTATGATGAACTGGTTTTGCTTGCAAAAGATGTTAACTGGATGAATTAAATAAAAAAGGAAGAATTAAATCAATTAGGAATAAAAAGGGCAAGAAAAATCATAAAAGTTAGAGAGATACAGTGCAAAGGTCAAAGTGGTCTGAACTCAGTAGCTGAAGAAAATGAATTATTAATTCAGTTCTAACAATAGATGAATCCTTCAAAATTTGATACTATAGCTAGGTAGGAAATACTCAGTTACTGAAACCAAACTTATTATTTTAACTTATTTTTTAAAAATCTTTAAAAGAGTATGTACTTAAGCTCTTTTGTGCACTTGATAAAAAATTTAATGTTCAATGTCTGCACTCACAAATTTTAAAATACCTTATTTATGTGCTTACAAATGGATAATATACTGTTTTCTCAAAAGCTCAGTTAATGATTTACAGTGAACTGATTATACTTGTAAAAATGTTAGTTGGATGAACTGGATGTACTCATATAATTATCTTGAAATTTCATTAATTAAATTTCATTCAAGAATATTCTATCATACCTGTGTACAGTGAAAGTTTATAAGCGTTTCATGACCATTTCTCCCAAGTGCAGTTGGACGAAAAATTACAGGTAATTCTAAGGTGGAATGTGGACATATAATCAACTGCGTAAATTCAGAAAACAAAAGAAACAAAAATTAATACATTATTTAAGGTGATGTGTTTGTGTACTAGTTCTATATAGGGATGATGTTTTAATGATGGAAATATATTCATATATATATATATATATGTATCCTTGAATACATCTGTCTCAGCATGTTTTTTCGCAAACAGTGACAAAAAGGTTTACAGTAAACACATTTAATGGCTCTCCCTATGTACTGTCTGAAGGACCATGTGGAATTATTCAATATGTAAATGGATCAAGACTATTTTTAATGGATGAGTTAGTTCCCCTAATCATAGAAATGTCCATTTGAGAAATTTTCCTTTGTTCTTTTATACAATCTCCAAGATATGGCCTGGTGGTTGGTATAGCAGTTTTATTTATCTCTTTAGATAACCTACTAGTTTAACCTACTAGTTTAGTGTTGTGAGATATGTTTAATATGCTAAGTGTAGGTTCATTTTCAAACTTAAAACAATCCAAATTATGAGTCTTCCCACATATAAGCATGTGTTGAATCCTGATTCAAATGGGAGAGTAATCTTGAGATCACTGAGTAAACTTGAATTCTCATGGACACAAGATAATATATTGTCTTTAATATACAATATGAAGTATTCAGGTGGAAATCAAACAAGGGATATAATTTAGTTTTAAATTGCACAATAAGGAGGTAGCAAATAATTTGTGAGCCAAGATGAAATGTTGTTCATTAAATTATTTTTCAGTTCTGTATCTTGTTTGAAGATGGTGACAGGATGTAGTTCATATGAAGTATGTTTTTGCATAACTCTTTGTCTTCATAATCATCAGTCAGTGCATATTTAATAAGTATTCATAAATAATATTTTTAAATGCTTACATATGTGGACAATGAAAGTTTATATGAAAGTTTCATATACACATATGTTTACATACATAATTACATGCATATATTATTTATATATTTATATGTTTATATACATAATTACATGCATATATATATTTATATATATTTGAAATGTATTATGTTATTTTCAAATTGTTATCCATTTGTCAATGGGTACTTGTATTTTACGTTATATAAAAATTTTCTGATATGTAACTTTTTGTGTTTTGTCCTTACATTAGATTTAACTTTACATTCAATTATAAATAATATTTGAAAAGACTTAATAAACTTTCTATGGATAGAAAGTTCATAGAATACAGTCAAGAATACAGTCCATATTCTTTGTTATGTAATATAAGGAGGCATGAAGTATTTTGCATTTTTTTTTCCTGTGGACTAGAGCATAAACTCTGCTCTAAGTATAATTATATAAAAGTACATCTCTGTCATATTTATTTATTTGTTTATTTATTTATTCACTTATCTTTTTCATTCATTTATTTATTTGTGGCAGTCTTGGGGCACAAACAGAGGGCCTGGACAGTCTTCCTTGCGCAAGGCTAGCTAACACTCCACCGTTTGAGACACAGCACCACTTACTTATTTTTGTTTTTTGGGTAGTTTTTATTGGAGATAATAGTGTCATACACTCCTGCCTGGGCTGAATTTGAACCACGATTCTCAGATCTGAGCTTCCTGAATAGCTATGATTACAGGCATGAGCCACCAGCACCTGAACTATATGTCATTTTCTAATGAGCTACAAGTCCTCCAGTTTGTTATTATTTCAGCTTCTATAGCTATAAGAATTTTATCTATAAGTAAGCATGAAGTTCATGCTCTGTATTATTTTTGGAATATATGGTATTGATACAAGCATATACATGCATTTGATATACTTACTCTTATATGGCAATTTGATGAGTAATGATTTCTAATTTGACACACTAGTTTAAAAACAATTTGATATATTATTACTCAACAACCAGTGAGTTCTAAGAGACAGATGTAAGATTTAATTATTTCTAAGCGTACATTTGTTAAACAGTAATCAAACAGCACATAGAATGTCTTTATTAAATAAATCTGTTAGTATAGCTCCATGATTTACTGTGAGATTCAGTGATGAAAATAAACTATTACAGATGTCTCTTCTCTAAGGCAAGGTGTGGTTGTTTTGCCCTAGCTGGGCTTAAACTGTTGGACTCAGTTCTTTCACTTTGTCTTCCAAATAGCTGTAATTACAAGTGCATGTCACTGATCTCAGTATGTAGAGTCATTTTGAAATTTTATTTGAATGAATGAATGTGGTTTCACATTCACTGCAAACAATTGGTGTCTTATACTTTGGAAACATAGATACTCATTAACAAATTGTTTTGTAACTTATTGTTTTTTTTTTTTAAATTTTATTTTATTTTATTTGAGACTTATTGTTTTTTTAAAAAAAATTTTGGTCCATCATGGGGCTTGAACTGAGGGCCTGAGTTCTTTTTCTCAAGGCTAGTGTTCTACCACTTTGAGCTACAGCTCCACTTCTGTTTTTTGAATGGTTAATTGCTGATAAGAGTCTCACAGGGACTTTTCTGTCCCAGCTGGCTTTGAACTGCAGTACTCAGATCTTAGCCTTCTGAGTAGCTAGGATAGTAGGCATGAGCCACCAGTGCCTGGATGGAAAGAGAGTTATTTAAGCTTGTTGATTTTGGCCCAATTTTTGCCAGTAACCCTGGAATGAGGAACTGGAGCATAGATAAAAGTCAGAGCTATTAGGAGTATCTGGAAGTATATGCCGGGCCAGAGCAGCAATTGAGAAAGGGCTAGAGAAGGAGTGGTTTTTGGGACTCTGGAAATATAACTATTGACTTAAAATCATATTACTAAGAAACTATTTTAAAAATCAATTAGTAAAGTGGTAAGAAAACACAACCATTAGAGCTATGTGCCAGTTAATATAATTGTAGCACACAATTTCAAAAATATATAAACATACTGTTTGAGTGATAGATTCCAATTGAGGAAAACAGAAAATTAGTAAACATATAGAAAATTATAATATAATCTTAAGAATGTGAAACTTTATTACTAACTCAAACGATAATAATTCATTAATATCCTAAAATAAGAATTAGAAAATGCTCTAGGAGAATGGGCTTTCATGACTTTTTGAATGTACTTACTGGTTGTTCTATGTCATTATCCAGGATAAAATTTGTAGGATTACTATTGTCTATGTGTAATTCTAAAGTTTCATGGGTAGGATTAGATAAGGAAAGGGTATATAGAAATTCCCTAGGAAAAAATAAGACAAAAGTAGTAAATTTTCTTGCATTTATAAACTTGTTAAACAAAAATTCCATAAATGTGACCATTACAAGTCAAACAGTCCTTTTCCCAAAAGATATAGTAGCACATAATAATTATATATGTTTAAACAGTATAATAGTGGAGTTTGTATCTGAAATATGAATATAAATTATAATAGTGGAGTCTATATAAGAAACAGGTTTCAATTCAAAATAAAGATATGACTGAAATACGATAAAAATAAAATGATATTCAACTATTCAATCTCAACTCATGAAAACATGTAATAAAATGATTTAACACTAAAAATATGTTGGAGTCCTTTCTTCCAGTATATGCATTACGTAGAAATGTGATGCTATCTGGCATACACACAGTTAAGATAAAGTGAAGTCATACTGACAAGGATTGGAGCCTTAATTAATTATTAATTATTAATTTAATTAATTAATTTAATCCTAAACTGAAGTATTGGATTGAAACTCCTTCGTTCAACTACTTAAACATAATTAAAAACATTATTTCAGGCTGGGGATGTGGTTTAGAGGTAGAGTACTTGACCAGCATGCGTGAAGCCCTGGTTTATATTCCTCTGTAACACATAAACAGAAAAAGCCTGAAGTGGCCTGTGGCTCAAGTTGTAGAGTGATAGCCTTGAGCAAAAGAAGATCAGGGACAGTGGTCAGGCCCTGAGTCCAAGCCCCAAGACTGGCAAAAACAAATGAATACATTATATCTAGAATATGCCCATAAATCAACAAGTAAACACACTGGATGGTAAAAGAAAAAAAAATACACTGGGACTGCATAAATTAATCAGGTCTCTAGGCATTCACAGTGAGATAAAACTAGAATATTCTTTGGAGAAGATCACACAGGTGCAATAGCTATATGCATATGATCATATAAAGCAATATTTATGGAAATGAACTCCAAGAAATAGGAACAAGAGGTTCTTTTTTCTTCTTCATTGCTGTTTTTGTTTTCATTTCCTTTGTCTTGATTATTCATTTATCTGTCCTTGGGAGGGTAAGTGGGGGGCACAGAAATGGAGGACAAAGGGTGAACAAATGCAACAGTGATACTCAGTAGATACTATGTTGAAAATTAACAACTTGCTGGTGCAGAGGAGGGAAAATGGGAGAGGGTGAGGGAAGGGGTGACATTGCTCAAAAAGAAATGCACTCTTTATCTGGCTTAAGTAACTGTAACCCCTTTGTACATTACTTTACAAGAACAAGAAATGAATGAAAAAATCATTACTTGTGTCTTTATCGAAAGACCACCTGAAGACACACGAGCTGATGGCCAAATAACACTGGGAGTAAAGATGAAGTCAAGAAAGGCAAGATTGCTGAACGCTGGTGGCTCAGGGCTATAATCCCAGTTACTCAGGAAGCTGAGATCTGAGAATCATGGTTTGAAGCCAGCCCAGGCAGGAAAGTCCCTGAGATTCTTATCCAATAAACTACTGAGAAAAAGCGGGAAGTGGCATTGTGGATCAAATAGTTGAGCACTTGCCTTAAGCCAAAGAAGCTCAGGGACAGTGCCCAGCTCGAGTTGAAGCCCCAGTACCAACAAATAAATAAATAAATAATAAGATGAAATAAAGCCAAGGTTTTTGTTCAACATCAGAAACTAAAACAGGCAAAGAAGAGCCCTTCTACAAGTTTCAGAAGGAATATGACCCCACTGGCACTTTGGGTTTGGACTTCCAACATCTAGGATTAGATTATAAAACAATAAATGTATGCTGTCCTAAGCTACTCAGTTCATGAGATCTGTTAGAACAGTCATAGGAAGCTACTATAATTACTTGTATAAGTCTCAAGTTAAGAATAATTACTTAAGAAAGAACATTGTGCTAAATTAAGTAAATCCACATTCTATTTTAGAGACACAATATTATCCTTTTCCCTTTATTTCCATCTCTTTTGAATATATTTCAGTTTTAGGAGCAATATTTGCCCATTATTTTATATCTACGACATCCAGCCAAAGAAGCTACAGACTGAGTCTAAAAGCAGTTAACAAAATAACAAATTCACAGTGTTCATCCATAATATTTTAGAAAGACCTGAAATAATGATGAGCAAATGCCGCAAATGATGGCTTATATTTATGCTCAGAGCAAACAATAATCAAGGGAGTTCATAATTTTCAATCAAGTATAGTTTTAATGATTTTGATGTACAAAATAGAAATTGTCATCGTTCAGAATCTTCATGTAATGGTGCATGATAATACATTACATTAAACTCATCTATGTACAGTTTTTCTTATTCAGTTCTTTTCTCACTTATATTCCAAAATACTATAGATTTGATATAGTAAAATTGCATAATCATTGTCAAAATATTAATTTTCAAAGTTTAATAAGGAAAGGTTAGCACGACTTTCATTGGAATGAAATAAATTGCAACCATAAAACTGAATGAGGCAACAATGTCACAACTCACGTTTACTAAAAACATTAATAGTTTTCATGTATTAAAATATTGTAACACAAGAAAACCATATGTAAAAGGTAATACATTTTTAAATCACTTGTTCTTCTGAAGCATTTTTTTAAAATCAGTTCTCTGCCCCCATCCAGTATATCTCCATGATTACATAAAATAATATTATCAATTTAATAGACTTACTTTCCAAGGTCACATTTTAATTCTGGTATTTTATTTACTTTAGGAAGCAAAGTATGTAATTTTAGCAAAAACCAGAACTCTTCATCATTCTTTTTAGGTTGAAATATAATGCTGGTGGAGAGAAATATTGAAAATTTTGTTAGTATACTTTTTTCTTTTGAAAAATGTATTGCTATTATACTTTTTTGGTTGAGATTTGAACTCAGGTATTATCTCTTTCTTCTGTTTTTCTTTTTAAATATATATTTTTATTGTAAAGATACTGTACAGAGGGGTTACAGTTACATGAGTAAGTTAATAAGTGAATTTCCTATTAAGCATTGTTATCTCCTCCTTTGTCTTTCCCCTACCATCCTCTTCTTCCCCACCTCCAAGAAAATTTCAAATTAGTAGAAATAATTGGTTTCAAATACAATATTTGATTACTACTTTGCAATACATTAAAATTTTTCACTTTGTAACTCAAGAAAAACAACACTGTCAATATGTAAATAAATGCCAGTTTAATTGATAGGAAATGCCTAAATGAGAATATTTAAATGTCTTTCAGGATCAATAACAAGCAACTTCCTCTCTAATTCATTAAATTCAAGTTCGGTTTGTTGAATGCATGTGTACTTTCATTTGAAGTCCATCAAGTAGCACATGGTTGTGGAAAGCTTTATAAGCAGCATGTGGTCATCTTTAGGAAGAACAGAGTTTTGTCTTAGGCTAAAAGCATAATTAATAATTGGGCCTGTATCTATGTTTTGTCATCTTTTATAGTATAGCTTCAAACAAATCATATTAACTTTTGGAGATCACTTTCATTATTTATAAATTGGAGGATTCATCCTATTGCTTCTTGATGCTTTGAGAATTGTGTGTGTCTATTAGGTAAAATTCAAGTCACAATGACAATGGAGCAAGTAGCCAAAAACTAAGCCAAAATTATCTTTCAATGCATGCCAGCAAAAAAAAAATTAGATCAAGTAAAACTTACAAAATACTGTACAGAAACAACTGGGAAATGACATATCCCACACATTTCTAATGATATGAAATATTTCCTGTGATATGTTTCTTTTCTTCACATTATACTTAATCTTATTATTTACATTTTCAAAAATACACACACAGTAATCTGTTCATTAAAATAAAAGTTATTTAAATATTCCTATGAGATACTGTGCTTGAAGCAGCAATAAATTTATCTTTGAAGATTTAATGCTAAATGAAACAAGCCAAACTCAGGAAAACAAATATCACGTTTTCTCTCATTTAGGGAATCTTAACTTTATTTTTATTGTGAAAATACTGTATAGAGAGGTTACAATTACATGGGCAAGATAATGAGTGCATTTCTTATCAAGCATTGTTGCCTCCTCCTTTGTTTCCCCTTCCCATCCTTTCCCATCTCCCACCCCCCCACGCCCCACCTCCCGAAACTTAACTTTTTAAAGAACATGACCTTAACAAGGAGACAATTTGGAGTTAAACCAGTAGAAGGAGGTAGGAAGAAGAGAGTGTGATTGGGGGTGAATATGATCACAATATATTGTATAAATGTATGAAAATATAATGAAACCATTAAAATTGTAAAAGAAGAATAAAAAGTAATAGAAGGAGTGAATATGATTACTTATTATACAGGCATTTATAGATGAAGCAAAGAAATTCCTTTGTATAATTAATATATGCTACTAAAATAAAATAAATTTTAAAAATGGAATTAAAACTAATAAACTCAGAAACAGAGAAGACAATGATGGTTGGCAGAGGTTTGAGGAGAGGGTTTAAGATGGTGAAGTTAGTCAAAGGTCATGAAATTTCAGTTGGACAGAATTAAATTCAGAAGATCTATTATATGAAAATTGATGATAGTTAATGTTTTATACTTGAAAATTGCTGACAAAATAGAATGTGTTTTTCTAGCAAATCATTGAAGAGTATGTGAATCAATACATATGTTAACATTTTTCAAAATAATGTTGTACACCATAAAATATATAATTTTATTTATCCATTGAATAAATTTATTATTTGATGCAATTATCATACTATGAGAACATTTGACATACTGCTAATATATGTTTATATATATGTATGCATGTATATGTTCTCATATAATACCCATAATTTTATCTTTGTTACTTAAGGGAATTATTTGTACTAACTTAGAAACAATAAAGAATAATTTTTATCAAGGAAGTTGAGAGTTTAATCTAAGTCCTATGTAATCATTGAATTTGGTTGAGAAGTTGAACTAAAAAAGAGTTGGTTAGTAAAACAGAAATTTAACAACTTATATTCCAATAAACAATCATTTTTCATTGAAGCAAAAAATGTAACTATAATACACTGTGTCACAGAATAGTATGAGCACATATAAGGAGATAATTTTCAAAGCTTTTAAATTGAATTTTTAATTTTAATTTAAAAATATAAAGTGTACCTCTCTTCCTTGTAACCTATGGTTGCTGGAGAATATCGCACAATATAGTTAATACATTCCAATGGCTTAATTGTAAATTCTGAGTAACCATTAAGAGCAGGATCTGTTAACTGCACATTCAGTCGAATAAACTTGGTTGTAGAATTAGAAAGAGGTATTTCAATACAAGCTGTTTCCTAGAATTACAAAACAAATACATAGCTTTAAGTGTCAGTACAGTCATTGTTCTATGTCAAATATAAGAACAACTATTATATATATATATATTTACATATATTTATTTATTTTCTCCTGATCAACTAGTGAACATGTCTTTCCTCATAAGCCTTCTTTGATTAGGCTTAGTAAACTGCAAACATTAATATTTTGATGATGTCTTATTTATTCACAAATGCTCATTTTTTTCTCTCTTTTTTTGGATCCGGTCGTGGGGCCTGAACTCTGGGCCTGGGCGCTGTCCCTCAGCTCTTCAGCTCAAGGCTAGCGCACTACCACTTGAGCCACAGCGCCACTTCTGGCTTTTTTCTTTTTGCTTATGTGGTGCTGAGGAATCGAACCCAGGGCCTTAGGTATGCAAGGCAAGCACTCTACCACTGAGTCACCTTCCCAGCCCTTTCTTATATTTTTATTATCTTCAAATAGTTCAACCAAAGGTTTATCATTCAACAAATCAGTTTATAAGTACTATATATCTTCATTAATGTCACCTCTTTTATCTTTTGCCTTCATCCCTTCTGACTTACATTGATATTCTTGATGATACTAAATGTTTATTTCAAAATAGCTAATCGAAAGAATAAATGTTAAAAGTGATGGGTAAAACCAGGCACCAGTGGTAGTTCTTATAATCTTAGCTACTCTGGAGCCTGAGATGTAAGGATCACAGTTCTAAGCCAATCCAGAGATGAAAAGTCTGTTAGACTCTTATCTCTAATTAAAAATAAAAAAGCTGGAAATGGAGCTGTGGCTCACATGGTAGAGTGCTAGCCTTGAACAAAAAACCTTAGGGACAAAGTCCAGACCCCTAAGTTTAAACCCTATGATTAACAGACAAACACATACAAAAAAAGTGATGAATATTCCACATACCCTGACGATTACATGTTATATAGAGGTATTGAAATGCCACACAAAATCATATATATGTGTACATTTGTCAGTTAAAAAGAAAATACATGCAGTTATATGTATATAAATATGTGTACATGCATATGTATATATGCATATGCATGTTTGCATATACATATGTATACAAATTGTAACAATTTCTTAATAGCAACTACTACAATGGAACCAATATAATAATAAGAAAGCTATTTGTGAAATTACATTTAAAATATTTTTGCCTGTAACATTATTTCTATTAAATCTGTTTTTCAATGTTTCCACCACCAGTAACTTGATGTAATCATATGTCAGTTTATTGATGCATTTATAAAACTATCATAGGGCTTAGCTTCCTAAGACATTCCCAAGGGTCACACGCACACACTTGTGCGCGCGCACACACACACACACACACACACACACACACACACACACACCCTATAGTAAAGAATATCAAGTATTATTATCTGTACATTGGCCTAGAAAATTTGCCTAAAACTTAAGATAGAAAATTGAAATGAAGCATTTTGCTATAGACATTTGTCTTGACTTATCACTTAGATATTTTTCAAAGATAATCACTGTCAGTTCAAGAAAATGTCACATATTCTTCACAGAAGCAAAAATAATGTGATTTTCCGCATTTTAACCACAATACAAAAGAATTCAATTTTCTGTATATTCCCATCCAAATACACAAATCAGAAAACTTTCACAAAACAATCCCTGAACTTTCCACAATACTTCATATTATATTTAATTCCATTTAACTTAAAAATAATGTTGATTTTAATCCACTCACATCATGAGACCTGTACATGAGACATTTAGATCCTGATCTAAAGAAGAAAAAGTCAGACACCAGGAGCTTCATGCCTATAATCCAAGCCACCTCTGGCAATATATATATATATATATATATATATATATATATATATATATATATATATATATATATGAGATTCTATTTTAACCAGCAAAATGCCAGAATGAGGGACACCATCCATGAACAAAAAAGCTGATCAGGAGTACAATACCTTGAGTTCAAACTCCAGTAGTAGCACAAAAATGAATATGTATATAAATACATACATATCTACGTACATACATACACACATACACACATAGGAAAAGTACTAGCTCCTGGAACTCTTTTAGCCCTTAGATAAAACTTTGAATACAGAATAAAATCATATTTTTAAACCTGCTCTTTTCCCTGTAAACTACAATTCATTCAACAGAACCAAACTTTCATGTTGCATCTTGAGCACAGGAAATGGGGAAGGTAACTATTAAAGCATTTAATTGCAACCATTACACTTTGTCACCTATGCCAAGTATTACTAGCTGACCACTGGAGAATTGCCAAGTAGGTCTGTGTCTGATTCTCAATCTCCGTCACAGAACAGCCTTCAGATAATAATTTTTTTTATTTTATGTATATATATTATTGTAAAAATATTGTACATAGGGGTTACAGTTACATGAGTAAGATCATGAGTATATTTCCTATGGAGCATTGTTACCTCTGCCTTTGTTTTGTCCCTACAATCTCCCTTCCTTCCCCACCTCCCCAACTCCTCCCTTCCCCCACCCCAAAGTGGTGAAGTTCATTTTCAACATAGTGTCTTATACATCTCATTGTTACAATGGGTCAATCTGTATCCTTATTTCAGCATTTTGTTATTTCTCTTCCCCTCCCCAAATTAGAAAAATGTATATACAAGATACCAGGCACTGGAATCAAATACGGTGAAAACAGGTGTTATACATACCATGGGGGAAGAACATACAAAAGAACAAAAAAAAATCACATAGTACATTATAAATACATTAACAACAATAGCAAAAAGATAAAAACCCCTTGTGTCCCTATCTTGGGGTTCATTTTACTTAGTATCACCTTATATGGTCATATGTGAATAGCTTTTGACCTTTCTGCTTGTCCTAGACATAAATGCTTAGAAGAATCAATTCTGTAACCTCTTGAGAATCTCTGATATTTAATTATCTGCAGTCCTGAAAATTTTCATAGATTCAACAGAAACATCTGTTTATTAGAGTCAAAAGCTTTAAGTTTTTATTAATATATTGTATTTAATTAAAATATTTTAAACTTAAAATAGAAAAATAAAAATTTTAATTTCATCAATACTTTGATATTATTTTTTTCTAAGCCTAAATAGAAAAAAAAACTCATAAAATACACTATTACATAGATTTATATTTTAAATGCCCACACACCAAACATTTTCAAAATAATATAAATTTCTAACTATAAGTAGTTTTTAAGTATATATATGTATATCCATATATATATGGATATATTAATCAAGTATTTTTAAAATATTTGTCATATTCTGTATGTTAAGAACTTTTTGTCATTTATCACTTTATGAGATGATCAAATTTTATTCTGTTTGTTCTTTAAAATACCACTCTTTATGTTATTGATAAAATTCCATAAATACCTAGTCATTATAATCAAATAATGTAAAGCAGGTATTGTGTAGATAGACATGGTGGTGCATGCTTTTAATCCTAATTCTCTGAGAGTTTAAGACAGGATGGAGTGTTCAAGGCTAGCTTGGGCAACAAACAAATAAACAGAATATAGAAAAAAATGACATAGTTTTCTTGTTTAAGATGTCCTACCTCGTTCCCATACAATTTCATGCTAAATAATTCAAACTTTATGAGGAATTGTATTTATGTGACTACTTCATGATAAAGTTTTCAGTATTTGTGTGTTAACTACCTTGCCAGTGGCATATTCTTCTCCTATGATGAATAGGCCTTTAAGGTTAATTTATTGAACATAAATTGGACTGATGGTTTTTTTTTTCTTTTCCTTTTTTGTTGGTTATAGGGCCTGAACTCTGGGTCTGGGCACTGTCCCTCAGCTATTCAGCTCTACCACTTGAATCATAGCACCACTTTCTGGCTTTTTCTGCTTATGTGGAGCTGAGGAATTGAACCCAGGGCCTCATGCATGCACTCTACCACTGAGCCAACTTCCTGGCCCCTGGACTGATGGTTTTTGAAACTCAGATAAAATAGTATTGACTATATATGTGGTTGTCTTAAACAATCTTCCATCTTCATATAGGTTTTTTTAGGTTCAACCATAGAGAACATTCCTTTAGAAGGCATCCAGCAATTTTTACTTCCTTTTACTTAAGGGATATTTTAGTGAACATGATGACTGTTCAAAAAATTGCTTCCATTTGTCAGATTCCTTTGTAAAAGCACTAACATATGCATATTCAATCTTGTGAAGAAAAGATTTTAAACAGGAAGAGCATTTACAAGTTGCTAAAATTTAGAATAATGAAAATTCAGATATTCATAAAAGAATGTAATACCATTTTAAATATGTATGAACAGGTATATTTAATTTTGTTATAAACTCTTCCAGAGCAAATTAGAATGCATATATATTTTTTAACAAATATAAGATATTTTCAGCATTTAAATTTCATTTCCATGTTTATCATTTTCTTACAAAGGAAAATACATTTTGAGAAGCTTTAAGACATAATCATTCATCACCTCTTCATACCCTTTAGTAACTTAAGTGCACATGGTCTAAATTCTTGCACCTTGCCATTTGAGTCTCTCTGAAATCTGCCCCTGAGTAGTCTCTGATCAAAATTCCTCCTTCCACATTTTTTCCTCAAACTTTAGCCTTAACAACTTCTTTTCTGTTTCTCCTATCCTTTTCTGACTCTCTAATGACAAAAAAATTCATATATACAAAGAACTTGGATCCCTAAATTACATATGAAAGATGCCACTTACCATCCAGAATCACATACAACAGATGGCAATTATTATCTTTTATTGCATTAAACTATTGAAAATTGGGTAAACTGTTGTATGAGATAGAAATTGCATGACTAATTTTTCTCCAAAATAGTGTAACAACACTTTTTCTAATATACAAATAAAATGATAAATGCTTCTCAGGTTTCTAATTTTATCTGAAAAATTCTCCAAAATAACAACAAAAAAACCCTTCCTAATTTCAGTTATTTTGATTTCTTTAACATCATGTAAATTAGAATATTACTCTTATTGTTGGTTGTTATTCCTTGAAGGCTTCCTAAAGTAATGCCACAGATCAATGAGACAATATATATTCATTATAGAATAAATATGTAATTTATAAGAGGATTTTGTGTTTGTATATAAATCTAAGTATTGATACGTCTGATATTCTGAATAGTCACCACTTTCTTGAGACAGGGACTTGCTATATAGCCATCTGGCCTGGAACTTTCCATATTGACCAGCTGATTTTAAACTCAGGATCCTCCTTCCTCCACTTTGTGAATGCTGGATGGCTTTAGAAAGCTACCATAGCTGGATTTCTAAAGATTACTCTTCTTCCTTTTTTCAACCTGCAGTGCTGAGACTCAAACTCAAGACCTTGTATATTTTGTATATTTGAAACTTATTGAATGAAGGCAGCTACTTCAGATGGAACTGAAACTATCGAATTATCATTCTATCTCTTGGGTAATGTTGTCACTTGGTTGCTGGTACACACTTCCACAAAGAGAATAAAAATTGAATTCACTGAGTATTAGCATGAAAAACAGTCAATTTCCACTGGGCTTAAATAAATAAAGATATATTTGTATCTATAAATGCTTAATTGACTCAATGATAACTCAATATTCACTATCAGGGAATATTTCTCACCATATCCTCTCTCAGAAGATTATCATGAGTTCAATACAAAATGACTGTTCCTGAGGTATAAATACCAAATAATATTAAAGTTAAACATATTTAGGAAACTTCCAATTTTAACTTTATTCATATTGAAATCATAGCCAAGTCAACAAGAAAACTGAAGTAAAGGGCATTTTAGAAGTATTATGTAATTCAGAGTAAGTGATAACTTTAATCAGTGTAGGTAATTTTCCTAAATTGAATTGTAAGTTCAAATAGTTCAGAACCTGGAAGAATCAGGGTGGGAATTGTAAATTAGAAATGCTATTGTCATTCATCTCTCATTCTCATATACAACCACTGAATCTAAGAAAGTCATGCTCCATTTTTATCCTTTACTTACAACCTAACATTCAATCTCAACCATACAGAATGCACAGTACTGTCAAGGTTGGTTGCTAATGCTTAGCTGGGGGAAACACGGGTTCAAAATTCATTACTATGTGCCTGAGAATTGTGCTAATGCCAGAAACTCCACAAAAAACCTATTGGTTTATTTATTTGCATCCATACATAGTCTATGACCTTGAGCAAAAAAATTATAAAACAACTTTTAAAACCTATACGTGGGTGCCTTTCAATATTTTCACCATCTATTTTCTATGCGTCCAGGGAAATTTACCCAGAAATTAGGTGGACAAATAATCAATTTTTAGACTTAAATGTTTTAAATGATTCCTCACTTATTTTCTATTTATTGGAGCCAAATTTAAGATTCTAATCAAATCTATGAAGAAATCTCTATATACTTTAAAATGAAAACATTTGATCGTTCTCAATTTAAATATTTCAGTTGTAACCAAAAGTCAATTACAAGTAATTGAAACATTATTAATTTCAATTAATACCATCATCTTGTTTCATTTAAATCTTGACTCTTGATAATAAGATTTAAGAAATAATTTGAGCACATATTTCATGTCACTTCATTAACTCAAGTAAGAAAATTCAATTCTTTATCATTGCTAGCAAACGTATGCTAGTTGCTCCAAATATGTTTCAAAGTGACTGCTATAGTTGAAGTATGGAGGAAGAATGCTAATTAGTGCAGTGAATATAAGATATCATATCACAAAAAGATGTTTTCTCAATACACTGAAAGTCTAAAGTTGCTATGACTGCTTTATGTCAAGGTACTTATTTGATATGAAGGTTTTTTGAGGATAGAAAGTTAGTGTACCACAAAAGTTCTGTTTCCCAAATCACTGAGTCTCTGATCATTGAATGGCACTTACCAAAGCAGAGCAATGCACTTCAATAATATCTCTTGGTGGTCCAGGAGAGCAATGGATCACAATATCATACCAGATTTTAAAGTTTGTATAATTTTCATCTGAAAACAAAACAATACCAAAACCTTCTAAATAAACAGGAAAAATTCACAGCATTCTTAACTTGGGCCTCAGAATATAGTACCTCACACACAAATTTGAGAATCATATACAAAACCATTTTTATGCGGGGGACGGGGAATGTAGTTGTGGAGATGGGAGGGAAGGGATGGTAGGGGAAAAACAAAGGAGGAGGCAACAATGCTTGATAAGAAATATACTCATTACCTTGCTCATGTGATTGTAACCCCTCTGTACAGTATTTTCACAATAAAAAAAACTTATTTAAAAAAACAAAAAAACATTTTTAATTAGCTCATTGGGCACGAGAGCTGAATAGAGGTTATGCACCACAGTTTGTGAGCAATAAGAGAAGCCTCATCTTGCATTAGAAAATCCTGTTAAATCTGCCAGTTGTGTACCTGTCCCGGGAACTCAAGTTCTCTACTAAAATAAACTATGGATTTACCTTTAAATTAAAGGTTCATAATATAAAGAAGCAATCCATCTTTCCTCTAATTGGCATATATTTATATATAGGTCCATATAAATGTCTAATGGACACATCACATTTCACCATGGTACATTTCCAGTACATAAGAATTTAGATTGAGGACAAAGTAAGGAATATCAGATAGCAATTTTCCTGAGATTGTATAAAAGATGCTAGTAATTTAACGCAAGGAAGTCTAGAAAGGATTTTGGACTAAGTAGTGAGGCAATAATGCCTATAAAGCAGACAGCAGTGCAACGGCAAATGTCCCAAGCCATATCCTCCCCTCTGAAACTGGAGCTCTGAACAATCACAACATTTTATAGGTGTCCAAAACCTCTATTTGTAGTAGCAAATATAAGTTCTATTTTTCTCACCTGTTAGGCTTCTCATCCAGTGTCTAAACAGTTTGTGGCCTTAGATATTTTCTTCTTTTAGTAAATAATATGCATGTTCATATTAATATTTGCAAGTTAAAAATTCAAAACCTTTTAAGCTACTTAGGTAAGTAACTAAACTTTGGGCCTTATTTCCTTGTTCCAGAAAATAAGGGGCCCACAATATTGTCTTTCTCAGTGTCCCCTTCTTCGAGAAAGTTTTTTTCTTTTTTTCTTTTTTGGTCTGTTGTGGGGCTTGGACTCTGGGCCTTGTGCTGTCCCTCAGCTCTTCAGCTCATGGAGAGTGCTCTACCACTTGAGCCACAACACTACTTCTGGTTTTCTGGTGGTTTATTGGAGATTAGAGTCTCACAGACCTTCCTGCTCAGGCTTGCTTTGAACTGTAATCCTCAGATCTCAGCCTCCTGAGTAGCTAGGATTACAGTCGTGAGCCACCAGTGCCCAGCTGGAAAGCTTTTTTTTTAAATTTTTAAATTATCTTTAAGTAGTTGTACAAAGGTGTTGCCATTCAACAAAGCAGTTATGAATTCAATGCAACTTGATCTATGTCACCCTTTTCATCATTCTCTCCATCCCTCCCGACCCTTACCCGTCCCTCAATTTTCTTAATTTTGTAGGAAATTCATTGAATTTTATGATCGCATCCTTCCCCTCCTCCCTCTCATCCTTCATCTACCCCCTCCAGCCCCTTGACCGCACCTGCTGTTTCAAGTACCCATTTCCTGGTGTGGTGTTTATTTTGTTGGGCTGTGAGTTATTTATGAGTTTATTGTTTTGTGCTGCACTGTATGGAATTGTGTAAAATAGAATGATATTGAATGGAATATTGTGTTATATTGAATGACATTGTATTTTCACTGCACATACTCTGCTATTACGTGTTGCACGATGCTGTCTTACATTCCATGTTATTATAACACATAAAACATAAAACTGGTAAGCCTGAAAGACATGCCAAACAATTTGAGAAATAGAATTAGAGGTGGTCTAGGTATGTTATTCCAAATATTTGCGAAGAGAGTTCTATTTTATCTATTTTTTACTGTCAAGGTGATATACAGAGGGGTTACAGTTACTTAAGTAAAATAATAAGTACATTTCTTGTCAAACATGTTACCTCTTCCCTCAGTTTTCTCTTATTTAATCTCTTTTTATGGTGTTAGTAATGGAACCCAGGATTTGGCATATTCTAGACAAGGTTTCCAACACTAAGCTGTATCCACAGGCACTGTGAAAAGTTCTTAAACTCAATGTTACCTTCTTACTTTGTATTGGCTCCTGTGCTTATTTTGTAGATGCCCTTAAAAACTACTAATGTACAGAACATGCACTTACCAAATGTATACTTGTGTGATCTTACTGAGGAAATTTCTCACATTTGTATGAGTTGACCTTTAATTCTTTTAAAGCAGTTTGAATGTGTTTATATTTAAATACAACTCTTCAAATAAATCAAAGTTCTCTAAATAGAAAATATTTCACTTTCTGTATATCTCAAATGTATTTTTTGATTGTTTCAATGCTTTAATCTTATACAACAATAATACAGATAAGAAAGAGTATAACTGTTGAGATTTCTTTATAGCTCTGAGCTAGTACAAAAAATTCCTTCAAATCAGAAGACCAGTAAACCTTGAAATGACTACCATTATTTTAGATGTTTGGCAAACTCAAAAAACTCCATTCATCTTTGAACAATATTAGTCAAGGTTAACTAGAGCAATAGAAGTAAAAAGAGTGTGTGTGTGATAGTGTTCCTATTTCAGTTAAGAACTCTATTACAAATTCATTAAATAAAAATATCTCCTTTTGTTTACTTCCTTGTCACTGAACTTTTTCACCAGTTCAATTATTTCTTATAACTGTTTATGTCTCTGTTGCTTATACATAAAAAATATGTAGGAAGGCAAAGTCAAAGTTCAGCAAAATAAAACATCAGAAAGCGGGAGGTACTCAAAAGTTATGAGGTCAAGGGGAGAAGGATAAATGAATGAAGAGGTGAAGAGCAGAAGAATTCAGTCAAGAATCCAACGTATATCCTACAAAATGAAGAGTGAGGGAAAGGTTGGGCAGGGAAGGGATGGATGAGAATGTTGAAAGGGACGACATCAACCATATAAACAGTATTCATAAACTGCTTTGTTAAATGGCAACTCTGTTGTACAACTACATGAGAATAATTGTAAAAATGTAAAAAATAAAGAATAAGACATTTTCCAAGAAACTTGCCTTGCTTATTGCAATTCATCACTAACACATTTTTCACTCAGCTTCTATTAAGAAGATAACCTGTTTAACAACGTTTAAGGAAAGCTTCATAGCATGAGGAGGAAAAGCAATAGCAATACACATACACACACACATATATATATATGTATATATGTGATAAATATTGGTTTATATGTGCCTGTCATTGTGTAGGTACATGTATATATGTATATACGTATTAAAAATAAAGAGAATAAGTAAGTCAATTATTAAACAGAAAAAAGAAATACAAAAGGCAGTTCTTCTAAGAAATGACCCATAAATCCATGAAGAAATATTCAATATCTTTAGACCTACAAGAACTGCAAATCAAAATCACAGTGAGATTTATTTAAGAAAATATTTTACCTCATCAAGAAAATAAACAACAAACACTTTCAAGGATACAAGAAAAATGAACTTTTATACAGTTAGTGAAATGAAATTTAGTGTAGCTACTATTTAAATTAGTATGAAGATTCCTAAAAAATATAACAGTAGAACTTTTAAATAACCCAGCTATCCCTCTTTTGGTCATATATCTGAAAGAGTGTAAGCCACCATAAAATAGAAATACCTGCATACCTATGTTTATAGTAACACTATTCAGAATAAGGAGGCTGTGGAATCAGCTTGAGTGCCTAATGACAGATGAAAGGGAAGAGTGGACAAATGCAGCAATGGTACTCACTGGACACTATGTGGAAAATGAGCTATACAACTTGTGATTTTGTGATTGGAGATGGGAGGGGAAAACTGGGAGATAGTGAAGGAAGGGGTGACATTTTCTAGAAACAAATGTACTGTCTACCTGACTTATGTAACTATAACCCCTCTGTGATCACCTTTATAGCAATAAAAGTATAAAAAGAAAATGTAGTATATAAATATTTGCAATGGAGTATTATTCAGCCATAGAGGAGGATAAAATTATGTTGTTTGTAGAAAAATGGTTGGAACTAGAGGCTATCATGTTAAGTGAAAAGTCATGCTCCTAAAAACAAAGAGTATACATTTTCTATAATAAGCAAAAGCTAAACCTAAAGCAAAACAGGACAAGAACATATGTGGAAATTACTTGGAAGGTGAAAGAAAGAAACAGTTTAGGTAGAATGTGTGAAAGAGTCAACATGAAACCCATTTAAAATTTTCAAGAATGATGAAAAAGGGGTGTGGGAGTAGGAGGTTAGAATGGTGTAAGAAAAAGCATTGATGGGGATGCATATGATTAAAGTGTCTTATTTGAATTTATGGAAAATTACAATGGATTATCTCCTGCGTAACCAATGTCTCAATAAAAAAGAAAAAAAGTGAATGATAATGAGAATTTGTACAGACTGATCAGAAACTATCATAATAAATGTATCTGATTCTTCTTCATGAAACTATCATAAATAATTTACCTGTTTCTTCTTCAAAAATAATGTGAGAGTCCTCTGATGGGGTTAGTTCATCACTAGTGTCATCCTGAGAACTAATTTCATCTCTGCTCTGAACACAAAATGTAATTGCACCTGTAAGACATAGGTATAAGATGTCAAATTAACCAGGAAGGAATTTTCAAAAACAGTAGTCCCAAGTATTGGTTACTCTATCTAAAAACTTACAAACATAAATCTAAACATTAGTTCTACATGATAGTATAATAATTAAGCTTGTTGAAGTTACAGAACAGTTCAATAAAAGTTCAAATAAATATCAAAATCTCTCTCAAATATTAATGTCAGTAACTTTTCTGAAAATAATAAAGTAGTTGTGTCAATTAATAAATCTGTCTCATCTTTCAGATAACATTGATAATGGGTGACTGTTGCTATGTATTTTCTTCTTTAGTATTATTACTACATTATTAATTATTTCACTGAAAAAAACATTTATGCTGGGTACCAGTGGTTCATGCCTGTAATTCTAGCTGTTTGAGAGGCTGAGATACGAGAATCACAGTTCAAAGGCAGCCCATGCAAGAAAAGTTCATGACACTCTTTTCTCTAACCACCAAAATCTAGAAGTGCAGCTGTGGCAAAATGTTAAAGTATTAGCCTTAAGCTAAAAGCTTGGGGACAATGCCAGTCCCTAAACTGAAACCCCAGGACTAGTGCATGTACATGTACACACACTCTCTCTCTCTCTTTCACACACACACACACAAAGTTTTTACATAGCATAATAGTATTATAATATTCCCCATTATGAAGGTTCTGAGAACATTTAATGCATAAAATAATAACCACTTTATATAAAAATAGTGTCAAAAATTATCACTACCTAGACAATTTGGTACATTCAAATTAACCTATACAAAATTACTATTAATTTTTTATATATTTTAATATATTTATGGAAGTAATCCAGAAATGGCCCTTGGTTTCTTCATATCAGGTTAACATATGTGAAGCTTTACACACAAAACTATGAATTCCTAAGAGAAAAAACAACTGAGATGAAAACATATTTTCACTTGCTTGGGTAAGTAGTATAAATGATTTGTTGTATTTATAGGCAATTGAAAGATTCCATTAGGTAGATTGTCAAAGATAGTGAAATATGTAACTTTAGACCTGTCTAATATGGCTGTCACTAGCCACATATAACTATTAAGCCATTAAAATACTTGTAATCTTTTTTTTTTTTGCCAGTACTAGGGTTTGAACTGAGGGTCTTATACTTGTTAGACAAGCTGGGCTATGTAGTGAGACCTTATCTTAAAAATATGAAACAAAACATTTGTGTAAGGCAGTAGAAAAGACGTTCTAAGAATTCTATTACAACTGAAAATCTTAAGCACATGCAGAAACTAAGAATACATGGTAGCAATACATCATAGGAGTTATTTACTCTCTGTGGTGGTCTGAAGGCTTGGCATTAAGGGTTTTATGTTGCTAATTGCAACCAGAGACACTGCTATGGAATGTTGGAGCCAAAGAAATTAGAAAACACAAGCATAGATAGACAGAGAGATTGTGGGGAAAACAGGGTCCCAAGGCTCACTGGTACTTGGGCCTGGAGTTCCCACAAGCAAGCACATTTATTTGAGTTCACACAGGGAAAGTTACTATGGATACATGCAAAAAGAAAAAAAAGAAGAAGAAAGTTTCTATATCAATATTACAAGCAGAGTCAAAACAGAGTTCGTGAGAATCACTGGTTCCCTTATTATTTTAAAATTAGAGACTGAAACCCAGACAAAGTCCTGATAAGTATTTCACTTTACTCTCCAAGGTTAAACTGTCAGCCCTTTTGTCTAGCCATTAGTCTTTCTAGCCAGTCCTTCCAGCACTAAGGAAGTGGGGCTGAATTGTAGTTTCTTAACCTCTCCAGAGCTGTTTTAGCCCTTCCATGGCCAATTCTCAGTGTTTTAAGTACTGTCCAGGTAGTGTTCCAACCTCTCAAAACTTTTCCAGGTTTCACAGCTCAGCTTCAGAATTCCTCTACAGTTTTAAATGGGAATCCAAGAAGAAATCAGGAAATTGCTCATATTTGCATGTCTTGAAGCTCAGACTCTACATTATTTTTGCCTGCCAAGTTCTATATTAATATTTAACTTCTTAACTCAAGACATAGACATGGGACCTTCAATTATCTTTTTTTTTTTCTGGTCGTGGGGCTTGAACTCTGAGCCTGGGCACCATTCCTCAGCACTTCAGCTCAAGGCCAGCACTCTACCACTTGAGCCACAGCACCACTTCTGGCTTTTTCTGATTATGTGGTGCTGAGGAATCAAACCCAGGGCCTCATGCATGCAAGGCAAGCAATCTACCACTAAGCCACCTTCCCAGCACCACCTTCAAGTATCTTTATGAGTTTATAAAGTTATTGGTAAAATTTACTTTCTTGAGCTGGGTGCTGGTGGCTCACACCTGTAATCCTAGCTACTCAGGAGGCTGAGATCTGAGGATCACCATTCAAAGCAAGCCCTGGCAGGAAAACCCATGAGACTATCTCCAATTAACCACCAGAAACTTGGAAGTGGTATTGTGGCTCAAGTGGTAGAGCGCTAGCCTTGAACTGAAGAGCTGAGGGACAGCACCCAGGCTCAGAGTTCAAGCCCCACGACCACCACAACCAATAACAACAAAAATTGCTCTCTCAAGTTATACTATGATGCCAATATTCACAAGCTAGACACTGAACTCACTAACATGATATCCTCAATAAGGGACTGAGAATACTCAAACTTAAAGAAATGGTTTATGTATAGATTATTAGAGTAACTGGCATAAATTATTAATTTTTTGTCAGTTGTGGGGTTTGAACTCTAGGCCTGGATGTTGTCCCTCAGTTCTTCAGCTCAAGGCTAGTGCTCTACCACTTGAGCCACAGCACCATTTCTGGTTTTGTGGTGGTTTATTGGAGGTAAGAGTCTCATGGACTTTCCTTCCCTGGCTGGCTTTGAACCATGATCCTCAGATCTCAACCTCCTGAGTAGCTAGGATTACAGACCGGAGCTACTGGTGCCTGGCTATGGCTCCCAACTTTTATCCTAAGATCTTAGCCTCCTGAGTAGATAGGATTACATCAGTGAGCTACCAGCAGGCTATGTATAAATTATTTTTGAAAAAGATTCTGGGTGTAGGTGGCTTACATCTCTAATCCTAGCTACTCAGGAAGCTAACTTCTGAGAATCATGGTTCAAAGCCAGCTTGGGCAGGAAAGTCTTTGAGACTTTTCTCTAACTACTAAAAATCTAGAAGTAAATCTGTGGGTCAAAGTAGCAGAGCACTATGGTCGAGCACATAAGCTTGGAGCCAGTGCCCAGAGGTCCTGAGGTCAAGCCTCAGGTCAAGCCTCAGGACAAGCACTAAAACATTGCTATGTAAATTAAAATTATATAAGCCCAAATCTTACACATCTAGGTTTACTCAGTACTGTATAAGGAATGAGTTGCTTTATGTTGTAAGCATGCTTGTTTATAACCATCTCTTAGTCATATTATTGAAATGTTAATGCATTCAAGATAAATTTAAGGAGTATTGTTAGTAAAGTACTGGATAGATATCTGTACTTACTCATGTCTTGTAATAATTAACAGCAAAATTCTATTGCATTCTAATATTTATCCTAACCATATAAATATTATGACTATTAAAGAGAAAAATTGTCAATGTATTTTGTGGTATTCACTCATCAGCACATTATTTCTATGACTACTTCAAACGATGACTTTTTCATCGTTTTATTTGCTTGCTTCTAATATTTATTTGTTTCCTTCTAATATGTTTGAAATGCCAAATGAATAACACCTTTCTGAAAAAAAATCAACTAATGAGGACACTGTTCAAAAAAATATGCTCAATAACCGACTTACATAATTGTAATCCTTCTGTATATCACCTTTTCAATAAATATTTCTTTAAAAACCCCAAAGTTTTACATAATGAATTAGCCCCATGTTTCAATTTTTTAGGACCCTTTTGTAAACTGTTTCCTTTGATCACATTTGCGTTGGTGAAATAACTATTTTAAGCCAATAAATCATATTATAGAGAAAAAAGTAGAAAGCCGAGAACTTTGGGGATGTTAACTCCAAAATGCAAGGTGATAAGACAAAGTAAACAAGACACAAGAAACAAAGGACCTCCTCTCATCTGGTCGAATCATTACTAAATAACCCCATGCTGCTGATCACATATATGGTATATATGCGCACATCAGAGGGAAACTAGGAGGACACAGAACTAGAGGGAAACAGGGGAAAACATACAACAGTGGGACCCATCAGCTACATTAGACATTGATCAAAACAAACTAAGCAACACAATGGCAGCGGTGGGCGGGAGGGAATGAGCAGGAAAGAGGGAACAGCTGACACTAAGCAAAAGGAAAGGAATGTATATATCACCCAATGTGGAAGAAATAACTGTATAGTGAAAGCTCATAGAACTTATAAACTTTATACACCACTATAGACAATTTGCCCCATGAAGGTTTGAATGTGTTTGTGACTTTAACTAAGTATTACTATCCCACAATACTGTGAAATTTGTGAATTTATGTAAGCACTTAATCACAATAAAGAATTTGCAAAAAGAAAGAAAGAAAGAAAGAAAGAAAGGAAGGAAGGAAGGAAGGAAGAAGAGCACCTGCTTGACAAGCCTAAGACCCTAAGGTAAAACCCTATTACCACCAAAATAAATTCTAATAAATGGTCAATTTTACACTAGAAATTGTGTGTGTGTGTGTGTGTGTGTGTGTGTGTGTGTGTGTGTGTGTGTGTGTGTGTGTGTTAAATTTCTGGCCATTCAGAAAGCTAATAAGCTAATGGACAAAATGAAAAACTAAGTATATCTCTAGGAAATTCATTAGAAAATAGAAATACAAATTAAATTTTACTTCTTTTCATTATATTTCTATCCTAGTGTATTCATTAATAAAATTGATTTGATACCTTTGAATTCTCCACGTTTTTGAGGACTCACTTTTAAAAGGTATGGAAATGAATTATCAGGTTCTACAGAGATGTGTGATTTTCCACACACCATTTGCAGATCTGAAAATACCTAGAAAAGTATGGAAAGTAAGAATTATACAAGGTGGAATGGAAATATGTTCTCTGTTACACTATATTAAATTGAATATAATAAACTAAAGCACAGAAAAAGCTGAAAATTTAGTGCATTTATTGCAGCATTATTTATCATAGCTAAGATATGGAACCAACCTAGATGCCCCTCAGTAGATGAATGGATCAAGAAAATGTGGTATATATACACAATGGAATTCTATGCCTCCATCAGAAAGAATGGCATTGCCCCATTTGTTAGAAAATGGAAAGACTTGGAAAAATTATATTAAGTGAAGTAAGCCAGGCCCAAAGAAACATAGGTCCCATGGTTTCCCTTATTTGCAATAACTAGTCTATGTCTGAGTCAAGCAGAAAAGATCAGATAAGTTGGTGTTAGTGGAATGAACCCCAAGATAAGTACTCAAGTGTTTTTTTTCTTTCATGCAATTATTTCTAACATATTTATAAGATAATTTCTATGTTGCTTTGTATGTCCCTCCCCCATGGTATAATCCCTGCTTTCACTGTATTTGATATTGGTATAATTTGTGTGAAGGGGAGGGGCAAAAACAAATCGTTTAACTAGGGATACAGGTAGACCCATTGCAACAATGAGATGTACAAGTCGTTATGTAGAAAAACGAACTTCACAACTTTGGGGAGGGGGAGGACCAAGTGGGGGGGAGGTGGGGGGAGTATGGGGAGGGATGGGAAGGGGAAACAAAGAGGAGGCAACAATGCTTGATAAGAAATGTACTCATTACCTTGCCCATGTAATTGTAACTCTTCTGTATGGTATTCTCACAATAAAAAATAAATTGTTGGAAGACAATTTGGAGGTGGGGGGTTGGGAGGAGGGAAAGTGGGAGAAAACTGAGGAAAGGGGTAACAAGTTTGACAAGAAATGTACTTATTACCTTAATTATGTAATTGTAACCCCTTTGTACATCACCTTGAGAATAAATAAAAAAATAAAAAAGATGAACATGAAAAAAAACCGCACTTTAAAATGAAAACTCAGAAAAGTGAGACATTCAATAGAAGAAAATATTTTAAAAGACATTAACAATTAGAACAGGAAAATAATTCTTACACATAAACAATGTTTTATTCTTAGTTGCTAATTGTATCAAGATATCTCATGCTTTGAAAATATTAATTTCTTTTATGAGCTAAGTTTAATTTAAGCAATTTTATGTAAAAGAAAACTATTTCAATGATATTATACATTAATATTAACATAGCATATAAAGAATAAGAAGAATTTGACAACAACCCTGGATAAACACAACTTCCAGGTTCCTGGGTGCTAGGCAGTTTAAAACTGCCTATTTTAAAATACATAAATTTAAAAAATAATTACTGTGAAATAACCTTGCTCAGATTATGTTGCTTTGGATATTGCCAAATAAATCATCTAAGGTGATTCCATCTGGTGAAATCTAAATATCTTTCTTTCCTACCATAAAAAAGGTGCTCAAGATCAATAATCATCAAGGAAATGAAAATTAAACTACAATTAAGTGTCTTCTCACAACTTCTAAGATAGCTACTAAAAAAAGACAAGTGATAACAAAGTTTGTGAGGATGTGGACTAAAGAAACATTTCTTTGCTGTTGGTAATTATGTAAATTAGTTCAACCATTATGGAAAACCACATGAAAGTTCCTAAAACCAAAGATAAAATAGCATTACCGTATGTTTCAACAATCACATATCTGGGTATGTACTCAATAGTTTTTCAATACTCTTTATTTATTAAAATGATAGAAGTATAGCTGTCAATTATTATTGAGAAGAATTTTATAAATAGAAATTAACTTCCACATGTAATTGGACAAATATAGTTAATATAGAATAATGATTGAATTATGACCTACAGTTTAAAATGTATATTCTTCATGAAGAGTAAAGTTTAAAATAAAGTTAAAAATAAAAACATAGACATTTTTGTCTAATGCAACAAAATAAAATAACTGATATTAGAAAATTACATGTTGTTCTTTAATTTGTTTTCATCCAACTTTTGAGAGGATTTCATACTCACTGAAAATTCTGAAAAGAGATTATAACAATTTCTGTTTTTGTTTCTTGCTTGTTTTTATTCAATTCTAACCATTCTATTTTTGCCTATTTAATTAAATAAATCATACTTTAGATACTATTATGTTCTCAATATTACACTTTATGCTCAGAATTAAAATTTGAAAAAGAGAATTGCCTCTGAGGTGGATATATGATTTAGTGGTAGAACACTTGCCTAGAATTTACAAGCCCATGGATTACTCATATTATCATCTGATAAGGAATAATAAACAGATAATTCTAACATGAAGTAGAAGGTATAGAAGGTACTCAGGTGCAAAAATTATGTAGAAGCAGAACACAGATATCTAATCAGATTAAGAAAGTAAAGATTCATGGGAACAATGGCCTCTAGCTTTTTCCCTACAGAATTAAAATGTGTTAGACAAATATTAGCAGAATATAAGGACTTGAACATAGTGTTTCATGTAGCAGTAAAACAAAATGCAGTCTATAAAGCCGCATGTATGAGGCTGAAGCAAAGATAAAGCTGAAGAGATAAGCGATGACAAGCTATTGAAGGACAATGAAAACTATTAATGGAGTATGGAGTTGATCATTATAATGGCAATGAAAAAATTTAGCTGGGAGCGGTAAGAAGAGATATTTTAAATTGTTTTTATTATCTTTAAGCAGATGTACAAATGGGTTACAAGATGCATGTTGAACAGTATAACTGCTTAAGAGGAAAGTTTAATCTAAAAAATTCACTCCATAGAATGTTCCTTTGCAATCTAGTAGAGAAAGAAGAAAACTAAGGTGCTGTGTGTGTGTGTGTGTGTGTGTGTGTGTGTGTGTGTGTGTGTGTCTTGGAGCTTGAACTAATGGGCCTGTGAGTTGTCCCTGAGCTTTGTTTTCAAGGTTAGTGCTCTACCACTTGAGCCATAGCTCACAGACTTTCCTGCTTCTTGAGCAGCTAGGATTACAGGCTGAGAGCCACTGGTGCCCAGCTTCCAAGGCATAATTTTTGAGATTATAAGCAAATGCAGACGATAAGCTCAGAGAGTTTCCAAAGTGTTAGAATCTTCTTTAAAACACCAGTAGATACTTGAAGCTTGTTTTGATAATGATATTAGGTGCATAGAAATTTTTAGATAAACATGGGAGTAGGATGTGCCCCATTTTTTGTGCTGAGGATTAATAGCATGGCCTTCTGCATGCTAACCATGAACTTTTACCAATGAGCTATATTTCAAGAATGCTATGGTGGTACATTTTTGTAATCTCTACTTTGAAGGTGGAGAAAGGAGGATTGTAAGTTTGATGCCAGTCGTGACCACTTAGTGAGACTCCATCTCTAAAAAACAGTTGTTTCTAACACTTTTAAAACATCTTTTATTGGTATATACAATTTTTTCAAGATAAAATACAAATGCCATAAATATGTAGACTTAAATATGTTATGATTATTTGCTAATAGCAAAATGTAAAATCATTCATGATTTATGTGGTAGCAAAAACTTGTAGTGCACCTACACTTATACAGGTTGAGGACATAGTAATACATTGACTTCAAACAAAATGAAACAGGAAAGAATATCTGAAAAAAATCCCCTCATTTGGAGCCAATTCAAGTTTTTAATGGAATTTATATTTAGCAACTATTGTATTAATTAAAGGTAGAATTGTGAACATTTCTCCATGTGATTAAATATAACTGTTGTGAAACTTTCATATAATTCAACATATATTCAGAAGTATTTCCATACTTTAAAATATCTTACCTTAAATGTTAGGAGACTTCTTGTAGAATTGGGCACTAGTATGGTTCTACTTGTTATTGTCCCTACTTGGCATTCAATAGTAATGTGTTCTAAGGCCAGGGGTCTTCTACCAATTCCATTTACATCAAATGTGTATGCCAAACCATCAATTTCATTTTGTAGAGTAAGTTTACCCTGTAGCAAAACAGCCAAAATTCAGGTTTAATGGAGTTACAGTTCAATGTCAAACATTCACCAACATAGTATTCATTGTGAGTGTAAAAGAAACATGCTTCCCTCTGTACATCACCTTGACAATAAATTAAATTAAAAAAGAAACATGCTTGTAACACGTTAGCCATTCATTGACTTTTCCAATTCCTGTATAATTCATATGCTGAATACACTGTTGATATAAAGCTCTTCATGTGTCAAAGCTTTAAATTATAGAGTTCTCTCTAAATTTCAGTTTTTATAGGTATTCTTTTTTTAATTTTACACCATTTATGTTAGGTTTTTAAAAAGAGGTAGCCGAGTAAGAACAGCACCACACACGTGATATTCAGGTAAGGGGTAGGTTTTTTCATTGTTCCGGCTGGCATAAGGCCATCTTGGTCCTCCATGCAGTGGGGAAAGGCCTGGGAAAGAGAGCTAGGAGAGCTGGGAAAGAGAGATAAAAGAGCTAGAAAAGAGAGCTTCTGGGAAAGGTGGGAAAGAGAGAGCTAAGAAAGAGAAGGGAGCTGGGAAAGAGAAGAGAAGGAAAGAGCTGAGAAAGAGCTAGAAAAAAGCAGAGAGAGTATATCTAGGTATTCTAATATGTAGCATTTATATATGTGCTTTCTTCCATGCCAAAGAAATTTTGTTGTAAGAAAGTATTTTCTGATGTAACTAATTTCTTAATGAAGAACAAAACATCAATGATTTTACATAATTCAGCATATTGTATAAATAATCTCAATATAACTATTCAGAGAAAATGACTTGGTGACTTTCAGAATATTTAGCTCTCAAATTTCAAACTGTATTAAGGTTTCAAGTAAAAAAAAATCAAATTAAAAAATACACATTTTCCACAAACTTTTTATCATTTGAGTAGAATAATACCATATATAGATATATTTACATAGTCATACTATAGGAACGAATCTTAGAGATCATACCATCACATCACATTCCATAATAGGTTTGAATGTGAGAGGATATGGCACAGTTTCACCTGGGTTCACATGTAAAATAGCAGGTCCACAAAACCATTTGCCCTCTATCATAGCTTGAAATCTCCATTCATTGTTTGTTGTATTATGCTAGAAATAACAAAAACATACAGAATATCAGAAGAGTGAGGGCATAGTGAAATTACATCTGAATTCTTTATTTCTTAAGACGACAGTGGGTGTGGTAGCAAACATTTACATTGGGTGGCCAATGTAGCAAGATCAAAGGATCCAGGCCAGTATGAGGCTCCATAGCAAGACTGTCACAAAAACCCAAGGAGTGGGATGTACCAAAATGGTACAGCGCTTGCCTAGTTTGTCCAATTCGTGGGTTCAATTCACTGCACCAAAAATGAAAAATACAAACATCACAACATGAAAATCCTGTTTGAAACCTAGGTTTTTTTGTTGTTTGTTTGTTTATTTAGTTGTGGGGCTTGAATTCTGGGCCTGGGTGCTGTCCCTCAGCTCTAGCCTAGTGCTCTAGCACTTGAGCCACAGCACCACTTCCCGAAAATCCTGTTTGTTAAGAATGATTACATCACTGTGAACTAAAGGCCCAAAGATGAATGCACACATATTTCTAAGTTATGCAGAAACATTGCCTGATGGTTTTAGCCAAGAATCAGTATCTAGATGTTTACCTGTTTGACTATTGTTAAAATGGCAAATGTTCTTATAGAATATAATTTATGCCTAAGGGAAATAAAAAGGTGTTCTAATGCATAGATTTCTTAGAAAACAAACATTACATATGCTATAGAAAGAATTTTGTGTGCCATTATGACTTTCACTATATCTGTAATAATTAATCAAAAATCAATTCATTACTCTAAAAACACCAAAGATAACTTTACAATTACATTAACTTCTTGCTCACTTTGTCTAATAAGTAGGCAAGCTACAGTTGTCAGTACTCTCAGTGCCTATTAACTGTCTTAGTCAAATGTTAACATCACAACAAAATTTTGAGCTCCCACAATTCTGTGTGGCAAAATCAGAAGGAAGCCTTTTTACTTTCTTTTCTTTTCTTTTCCTTCCTTCCTTCCTTCTTTCTTTCTTTCTTTCTTTCCTTCCTTCCTTCCTTCCTTCCTTCCTTCCTTCCTTCCTTCCTTCCTTCCTTCCTTCCTTCCTTCCTTCCTTCCTTTCTTCTTTTTTTTTTGGTTGGTCTTGGGCTTGAACTCAGGGTCTGGGCACTGTCCCTGAGATTTTACGCTCAAGGCTAGTGCTCTACCACTTTGAGCTACAATACCACTTTCAGTTTTCTGGTGATAATTGGAAATAAGAGTTTCATGAACTTTTCTGCCTACTTGGCACTGAACTGCAATCCTCAGATCTCAGCCTCCTGAGTAGCTAGAATTACAGGCATGAGACATCGGAACCAGGCCATAATAATTTTTAATTAGGAATTTGTCATTAACTATGGATACTTAATTTAACTTTTTAAGCAAAGCCATACTTCAGAATTGATTATTGAGTAATAGCACCTTCAAGTAGAAAATCTGATATCAATTAAAAATAACCAGCAACAGAATGCATTTAGAAATCTGTAGTAATTTGGGATGAGAGGTTTGGAGGACTTTGAGACAGCTGTAGTGGGTTCAGGAGTGTTAAATAGCTTTCTTGAAATTTGTTTCTTTGTAATATTTCATGATAGCTATTCTGAAAAATTGTAGACAAAATTAATTTTTTGAGTAACTGATTGTGTGTGTGTGTGTGTGTGTGTGTGTGTGTGTGTGTGTGCACCAGACTTGGCATTTGAACTCAGGGCCTGGGTGCTGTCCCTAAGGGTTTTTTGCTCAAGGCTACTTCTGTATCACGTGAGCCACAACCTCACTCCTGATTTTTTTTTCTTTCTTCCTAATAAATTGGAGATTAGAGTCTGTCAGACTTCACTGCCTGGGCTGGCTTTAAACCACAACCCTCATATCTCAGGCTCCAGAATAGTGAGGATTGCAGGTGTTGCCACCAGTCCCTAGCATAGCTGATCTTTTGCAAAATAAATTTATACTTTTATTAGTAAACAGTGGATGTTGGCAGAGGCTTTTGCATCTAAGATTCCTCTTTCTATATAGGAAAGTACTTCTCACAAGAAGAAGAGGAGGTCTGATACATCTGAAAAGCTATCTACAATAGAAAACAAGTCTTTTCTCCTATGCAAATACTTCAACTCTTCCCAGAAGCCTATGTTGCAATATTTTTGTTTACTTTCTATATAATTTTCAACAACTTTGAATCTTCTTTGAATCTTATACTTTGTGTATGGCTCCCAAGGTTTGTATGTTAATAAATTTTTATATATTTCCCTTCTAGTATGTGTACTGCCAGATTATTGCCTAGACTAAAATGAGAAAAAGAGCAAATTTAGAACTTTACATATTTAAGATAGGCACCAGTGGCTCACGCCTGTAATCCTAGCTACTCAGGAGCTCAGATCTGAGGACTGCAGTTCAAAGCCAGCACAGGCAGGAAAGTCCATGAGACTCTTATCTCCAATTAACCACTAGAAAACCAGATGTGGCACTGTGGCTCAAGTGGTAGAGCACTAGCCTTAAGCTAAAGATCTCAGGGACAGCACCCAAGCCCAGAGTTCAAGCTCATCAAACTTTACATATTTAATAGGACTATAGAAGTTGACATTAAACTTTTTTTCAGTTCTAGAATTTTACAGGAAATATCATGAGGGGAAGTGCAAATGGCCCTCCGTCCAGATGCCCTCCACTCCATTAACCAGGTGAAAATTTAATCTAACAGTTCAGTGAAAGACTCCACAGCTAATTTTCCATGCGAACATTTTCCAGTTTTTGTCCTTATCTTTTATAAGGACAAGTTTGGCACAGATTTAGAATGGCTTAGTTTTTAGTTTTATTCAAAGCTGTAAGTAAATTTATGTCATTTTCTCTTAATGCTGGTGAGTGTTCAGTCCCAGAACCAGTCATTTTTTTTTTCTGGTCCTGGGACTTGTCCTTGAGCCTCTTTGTACTCAAGGCTAGCACTCTACTACTTGAGCCACAATGCCACTTCCAGCTTTTTCTGAGTATTTTATTGCAGATAAAAGTCTCATGGACTTTTCTGCCCAGTCTGGCTTCAAACCATGATCATCAGATTTCAACCTTCTGAATAGGTAGGATTACAGGCAAGATCCATTGGCACCCAGCCTAGTTTTACTTACTATAGGAATATCTTGAGTAAGCGCTTGAAATGCTGGTGTCTCAAACACAAATTCATTCTCTGCTTCTTCTTTATTTACCACACCTTCAAAGTTATAGAGGCGTATATCGTACTTGGAGGTCAACAACATTTTACAAGGATAGCGTCCAAAAGAAAGAGGTGCAAATCTTAGGGGTATTAAAACAGATCCATCTGCAACAATCAAAATAATTTAAAAACAATTTAATCATTTTCAATGTCATAATTCTTTTTTCTGTATATATTTTTTATTTATATTTTATTATGAAAAAACTGTACAGAGGGGTTACAATTACATGGGTAAGAAAATGAGTACATTTCTTATCAAGCATTGTAGCCTCCTCCTTTGTTTCCCCTTCCAATCCCTTCCCAGCCTTCCCCCACCCCCCTTCCCAATCCTCCCCCCCCACCAAAGTTGTAAAGTTTGTTTTCGACATGACAACTTGTACTTCTCATTGTTGGAACGGGTCCACCTGTATCCTTAAACGACTTATTTTTCCCCTTCCCCTCCACAAATTATATCGACATCAAATACAGTGAAAGCAGTGGTTATACTGTGGGGGAGGGACATACAAAGCAACAAAGAAATAATCTTATAAATGCACTAGAAATAAATGCATGAAAGAAAAAAAACATTTAAATACATATCTTAGGGTTCATTTTCCTAACATCACCTTATCTGACCTTTTATGCTTGACTCATACATATACTAAATACTGCAAATAAGGAAAACCATGGGGCCTATGTTTCTTTGGGCTTGGCTTACTCCACGGATCAAGAAAATGTGGTATATATACACAATGGGATTCTATGCCTTCATCAGAAAGAATGACATTGCCCCATTTGTTAGGAAATGGCAAGACTTGGAAAAAATTATATTAAGTGAAGTAAGTCAATGTCATAATTCTTAAAAATTAATTTTGTCAAAAAATATTTAGTATTACAGCACTAAATTTTATTGTATAATTTAGATAAATCAACATTCAACTGAGATAATATATTAAGTTAAATCTCCAGGGTGTATCATTCAAATTTATTTAAAAATTAAGAGTACAAGGCTGGGAAGGTGGCTTAGTGGTAGAGTGCTTGCATCGCATGCTTGAGACCCTGGGTTCGATTCCTCAGCAATACATAAACAGAAAAAGCCAGGAGTGGCATTGTGGCTCAAGTGGTAGAGCATTAGCATTGAGCTGAAGAGCTGAGGGACAGTGCCCAGGCTCAGAGTTCAAATTAAGAGTGCCTATCTTACATGGACTGGAAGAATGTGTACTTCCTAAAGTCATTAAGGACCTCATTCTTTGAATGATACTACTAGCTTGTTGCTGCTATATTATCTGGGAAATCACTCTATGTTGACAGAAAAGTCAGGGAAAAAGGAATGTTTCGAAGATTGTTCAAGGATTTTTCAGTGTCCAGTCTAAAATTAACATGTATTTCACTTAATTGGCCAAACCCAAATACATGGCTTTATCTAACTAAAAAAAGGCTAATAAGTGGTTATACAGAGGATTTAGTAAGCATTATGTTCTGCCACATGTCTATGACAAAGGAGTGCTCTATTCACATAGCAATCAATATAATTTTCAACTTGGCTGGAATACAGAGATGTTCATTTCCTAATGATCACTGAGTCTGAAAGTGAATGCCAAGGACATTCTTAATTATATATTTCCCAACTGATGAAGTGTTAATGGGTAAAATTCCTAAGGAATACAGGGTGAGCCCCTCTCCTTTATAAATCCAAAAGGAAAGCCATCATAAAGTTGGAATTCAAGAAAATAACGGTTTTCCTTTTGAAAACTTATTGATAAAATGATATCTATCTTGTAGCACTTTTGGCTCACATGCCTGTAATCCTAGCTTCTCAAAAGCCTGAGATCTAAGGATTGTGGTTCCAGGCCAGCCTGGGCAAAAAAAGTATGAGACTCTGATCCTAATTAAACAACAGAAACCTGGGAGTAGAAATCTGGTTCCAGTGTCAGAGTGCCAATCTTAGGCAAAAAAGTCCAATTGAGAATGTGAGCTCCTGAGTTCAAGACCTAGCACTGACATATAGATATAGATATTGATATTGATATAGATATAGATATAGATATAGAGAGATGATACCTATTTGTCTTAAATATACAACATAATGCAATTGAAGCATGTAAGATATGTATGTATGGCAAGTACTACAAATTACTTCCAGATTATAACATTTATCTATATCCCCTTAGATATTAACCATTTCCAACCTTAGAAATTGGAAGACTTACTGGCTATATTGTGTTATCAGGCCATCATCTTCTTATGGGGAGATCACTCAGTCTTTTCCAATTCTTCAATATAATCCATGCGCTACCCCAGATAGTTTCTCTTTCTAGTGTCTCATTCTCCTACCTAAGTCTCCCCAAGATTACCTTTTAAACTATTTGCTCTTATGACCTGCTCTCAGGGTCTGTTATTGTTTATAAATACTGGTAAGTGTAGAAAAGAGAGTTTCCTTTGGGCTACCTGATTTCCAGCTTCTTACTCTAAATCTCTGTGGGCATTACACCTGCCTGCAAAAGGAGTACATAGGCTCGATGATATAAGCTCATGTAACTCCTAGACCCATTACATCCCAGGTCGACATAACTAGAAAATGATTTGAATTATGGGGTAACTAATTGGTGTCCATTGGAAAAAAGGTGTGAAGTAAGATTTGTGTACAAGCTGAATAGTACACATTCTTAAAATGAAAATGATTACAGTTCATGTTACAGTTGAAGAAGAGAAGAAATCCATCTATCCTCTATTGTCATTTTGTAACTCTGGGAAGTCCAAGAATTATTTTATTTTAAGGTGGGTGAGTTTATTTGAAGCTTATAAAATTTAGATGTGGGCTTCTGTTGGTACATATAAGCTCTGAAAAATTACTAAAGTTGCGTGAAGATGGCGGAGGAGAAGCTGGAGTCTAAACAAGCTCTCGCATAGAAAGCAGTTTTAGAGTTCCAGTGAACAGTCCTAAGCTAGAGAATCACACCAAGTGTGCCATCACAGGACAGAGAGTCAGGCCAGAGAGGGAAAATCCAGGCAAGGAGACTCATCTGAGCTCTTGCCAGCAGCCGCCGCGGCAGCGGCAACGGTGGCAGCGGCGATTGCAGGCGCCATACCTGAGCCACAGAGAGTTCGGGACAAAGGAGCCAGACGCAGCGGGCGAGCAGATTCTACTCAACACTAGCAAGAACCGACAAGGAGCAGACATCTTCATCCTGCAGTTCGCAGATCAGAGAGGACCCAGGAACCAAGACTTGGCGTGAGTAGAAGCCCGACGTCCTCACTCCTTCTCAGGGAGCAGAGGAGGGAAGACCACCCCGCCCCCCACAGCCCCGGAGATCTCCATCTTGGATACCGACAAAGCTCGGAGGAGCTGCTAGCTCCTACTCAGGCCTTGGAATAAAACGAGTCATTTAGCAGGTCACAAGATCTTAACGGCAGCGTGACCCACCAGACTCAGCTCCACCCAGGAAAAAGTCACCCAGCTTGGGCGCCCGCCCTAGGAGTGGCTTTCTTCACTGGGTAATCAGAGCCAGAGGCTGCCCCTCCCTCTAGCAGCCTCCACAATCAATTGAAAATCAGTAAACAGAAACGCTGAGAATGGCTCCAGGCTGGGCTCTGTGAGTTTCTCACAAACTAGCCCCCAGGAAAAGCTACTGTCTGTTGAAAGGCCTCAACTCTACCCAGAACCTAGCCTCATCACTGCATCCCCCTCTTTTGTGATACTCAAAGCAGATCTGCCTCCCTTTGAACTAGCCTGGGAGGAGGATCACCAAATCCTGGGTAAAGCAGAGCATTTTTCTGCCTGTTCGAGCAAACTGACTTAAGAAACCAACCAAGCCACAGGACCACAAGCAGACCAGAGACAGCAACAAGAAGCTGGTTACGGACACAAGGGAGATACAGGATTTTCCCCACCCCTCCCAAAAAAATCAAAGAACTTTTTTTTCTTCTTCTTCCTTCTTCTTCTTCTTCTTCTTCTTCTTCTTCTTCTTCTTCTTCTTTTGTTTTGGTACCTCATATAAAAAATTTTTTTTTCTTTTCTAAAACTTTTTTTAATCTTTAATTTTTGCCTTTTTGAAAAAAAATTGTTTTCCAGTAACTTTTTTTCCTCTTATAATTTTTATTTTAGGGAGATGTGAGTGTGAGTTTTTCTTTTTTTTGTTTTCTTTCTCTTTTTTTTCTTTTTTAATTATCTTTTTTTTTTTGTTTAGCTCTACTAAACTTCTGATCTTTTTTCTTCCTTTCCTATCCTTTTCACCTGTTCTTCTCTTTCGTTCTTTATGTGACTTAATTCTTATCCTGCACATCCTCAGATAAACCTGTAGTTGACTATTAGACCCTATCCCCCATTGTGTACCCACTTAATCCACAAATTTATTACTCAATTCAAAACCTCTGAGACTTAAATTCCTTAATAGCAATACTACCTCTTTATACCTATATAATATTTTAAGCATTTTTATTTTTAAGTTTTTCACATGTCCTTTATATCCCTCCCCTTCTCTCAATATATTCACATTCTTCTCTAAATAGATTGTTTTCGCTTCTGCATAATATTATTAATTTTTACTTTTCTATTTTTTCTGGTCTCTTTTCTTTTCCCTTTCCCTTTCTTCTTTTTTTCTCTGCTCTACTTTCATCCTACCCAATCTATTTCCTGCATTGAGATTAGGACTTAGATAACTCTTCCTGTGCCTCCCCACATCAATCTTCCTATTTTTTACCTACATCTCTCCCTAATCCTAATAATTTCTGGTTTCCAAATTCTTCTTTGCATTTCATAGCCTATTAACATATAGGTGTTTGATGTTGAATAGACGTATCAGTTGAACTAGATTACATCTGTAGACTATTGACTGTGCAAATTCAGACTTTGGTTGATGCTTGCCTTAAGATAGTGTTCTAGCACAAAACTGGTGCTATTTTCATCTCAAATGGGCAGAGTAAGCCGGAAAAACACAAGAAAAATGGCAAATCTGGGTATCTCAATTCCCAATCTCGATAATCAGGGGACAGAACAGATAATGAATAATCCAGAGGAGAGTTCCCAAATAGCTCTACAAACACTGCTGGCAAACATGATAAATTAAAAGATTGAAAGCATACAAAGGACTCTGTATGAGCATGATAGGGAGAAAAAGGAGGCAATCCAAAAGTTTATACAGGAATATCATAAGCATGAGGAAGCTACTCAAAAACTGATACAGGATTTGCGTGAGCAGCTTGAGAATACTCAAAGAGAAAGGCAGGAATGGCGTGAACAGGCTGAGAACACTCAAAGAAAACTACAGGAATCCCATGAATGGGAGGAAGCTAATCAAAGAGTAATACAGGAATTGAGAGAGCAGGAAGAGAATACACAAAGATCACTAAAGGCATTCATGGAATCCATTAACAAAGAGCTGAAGGAAGTCAGGGAGACCACAAAGGGAATGCTGAATGGAACCCAACAGAAGGAATGGGAGTCCAAGGAAACCATAAACAATCAACTAAATGATTTGAGAATAAACACTGAACACCAAATTAAGGAAGTAAAGAGGTTCATACAAGATCTAAAACAAAGCTTCAACAAAGAATTTGAAGCCATCAAAACTCACCAATTAGAAGGAAAAGAGATAAAATACAAAGAAGAAAGTCTTGATAGCAGGTGAGACCATGCAGAAGATCGAATCTCAAGGATTGAAGACAGACTACATATTATAGAGAAAGAACATACAACCATCCAAGACAAGTCCAAGAAATATGATAGATCTATCCAACACTTGAGAGACACGATCAGAAGGCCTAATCTAAGGATAATGGGTGTAGAGGAGCACCTAGAAACAGAAGTTAATGGTCTAGGAAATTTGTTTAACAGGATCCTAGCAGAGAACTTCCCAAACATGCAAAAAGATAGGCCTATTCAGATACAAGAAGCTTTTAGAACCCCAAATAGACCAGACCAGAATAGGACATCCCAGTGTCACATTATAATCCACACAGGATCAACGCAGAACAAGGAAAAGATCCTTAAAGCTGTCAAGGAGAAAAGATTAATCATCTATAAAGGGAAACCAATTAGAATCATCTCAGATTTCTCAGCAGAGACAATCAAAGCAAGAAGAGCCTGGAATGATGTATGCCATGCCCTAAAAACAAACAACTATCAACCAAAAATACTGTACACAGCTAAACCCTCCTTCATAACTGAAGGCCAAATAAAAACCTTCTATAGCAAAGAAAAATTGAAACAATACATCTCCACCAAACCAGCCCTACAAAAGATTCTTAAAGATGTCCTACACATAGAAAATCAACAAGACCACAATAAAAGCCAAGAAACTGCACCCAAACTGAGAATCCAAGAACCATTAGAAGAACCCAGATTTCACAGCCCCCAAGAAGGTGGGTAACATGGCAGGAACTCCCAAATACCTCTCAGTCCTACTTCTTAATGTTAACGGACTGAACTCTCCAATTAAGCGACATAGACTGTCTAGTTGGATTAGAAAACAAGACCTTTCTATCTGCTGCCTTCAGGAGTCACACCTTGCCCGTAAACACAAACACATTTTCAATGTTAAAGGCTGGAACAAAATCTACCAAGCAAATGGCCCCCTTAAACAGGCAGGAGTTGCAATCCTAATATCAGATAAAATAGACTTCAAATTAAAATTGGTGAGAAGAGATAAAGAAGGTCGCTACATACTAATTAAGCCATCTCTCCTTCAGGAGGATATTACAATTCTAAATATCTATTCGCCAAACAATGGAGCACCCAAATTTATCCAAGAAACACTATTTTCCCTCAAATCCCATATAATTTCAAAGACATTAATTGTTGGGGATTTTAACACACCACTCTCCCCACTAGATAGATCAACTCGGCAAAAACTCTACAGAGAAACCGCAGATCTAAACAGCTGCATAGATCAACTAGATTTAACAGACATCTACCGAACCTTTCACCCAGCAGTATCAGAATACACGTTTTTCTCAGCAGCACACGGAACATTTTCTAAAATAGACCACATTTTAGGCCACAAAGCAAACTTGTCTAAATTCAGAAACATTGAAGTTATACTCTGCATTCTCTCTGACGACAAGGGAATAAAATTAGAACTCAACACCAAAATCCACCAAAGAAAGTCCGGTATCACATGGAGGCTGAACAACACACTGCTGAATCACGAGTGGGTCATGAAAGAGATTAGAAAGGAAATTCAAATGTTCATGCTATTCAACAAAATTGAACACACAAATTACCAGCTCCTCTGGGACACTGCAAAGGCAGTACTCAGAGGCAAGTTTATAGCTCTGAGCTCCTACATCAACAAATTGGAGAGATCTGAAACCAACAATTTAATGACACATCTAAACCTCCTTGAAAAAGAGCAGCAAGATAAACCCCAATCTAGTAGACAGAAAGAAATAATTAAAATTAAATCAGAATTAAATGAATTAGAATCCAAAAAACTATAGAAAGAATCAACAAAGCAAATAGTTGGTTCTTCGAAAAAATTAACAAAGTTGACAGACCCTTAGCAAATCTTATCAGAAAAAGAAGAGAACACACCCAAATAAATAAACTCAGAGATGAGAATGGAAACATCACCAGGGAAACAACCAAGATTCAGAACATTATAAGGGAATACTTCTCAAAACTTTATGCTAATAAATTTGAGAACTTGACAGAAATGGACCTCTTCCTAGCAAATATTGACATGCCAAAACTAAACCAAGTTGAGTTAAACCATCTTAACAGGCCCATATCGAGCATTGAAATAGAAACAGCAATAAGAGACCTCCCAGCTAAGAAAAGTCCAGGACCAGATGGTTTTACAGCGGAATTTTACAAGGTCTTCAAAGCAGAACTCACACCAATACTCCTCCAACTCTTCAATGAAACTGAAAAAGAAAGTTCTCTACCGAACACATTCTATGAAGCCATCATAACCCTCATCCCACAACCAGGCAGGGACTCATCAAAGAAAGAGAACTATAGGCCCATTTCTTTGATGAACATTGATGCAAAACTTCTCAACAAAATTTTGGTCAATCGACTTCAACAATCCATCCAAAAAATCATACACCACGATCAAACAGGTTTCATTTCAGGGATGCAAAGCTGGTTCAATATACGCTAATCAATTAATATTATTCATCACATCAAGAGGAGCAAGAATAAGAACCACATGGTTATCTCAATAGATGCAGAAAAAGCATTCGACAAGATCCAACACCCCTTTATGATGAAGGTTTTGGAAAAATTAGGAATCCATGAAACATTCCTCAATACAATAAAGGCTGTATATGACAAACCTACATCCAGCATTATACTTAATGGTGAAAAACTAAAGCCACTTCCTCTTAACTCAGGAACAAGACAAGGATGTCCACTCTCTCCACTTCTCTTCAATCTAGTATTAGAATGCCTAGCTACAGCAATAAGACAAGATGCACACATAAAGGGGATCCAAATAGGGAAAGAAGAAATAAAACTCTCCCTGTTTGCAGATGACATGATCTTGTATTTAAAGAATCCCATAGACTCCACTCCCAAATTACTCAAGCTGATTCAAAACTTTGGCAAAGTAGCAGGTTATAAAATTAACCCCCAAAAATCAATGGCTATTCTGTATGCCAACAATGAGAAAAGTGTGGCTGAAATTAGGAAAGCAACTACATTTGTAATAGCCCCACAAAAAATAAAATACCTAGGAATTAACTTAACTAAAGAAGTGAAGGACCTCTATGATGAAAACTTTAAAATCTTGAAAAAGGAAATCAAAACAGAACTTAGAAAATGGCAAAACCTCCCATGCTCCTGGACTGGAAAGATTAACATCGTGAAAATGGCAATACTTCCCAAGGCTATCTACAAATTCAACGCGATACCTATCAAAATTCCAACCTCATTCTTCAAGGAAATAGAAGAGGCAATCCAAAAATTCATATGGAACAATAAAAGACCCCGAATAGCAAAAACGCTCCTCAACGGAAAGAACACTGCTGGAGGAATATCAATACCAAATTTCAAACTCTACTATAAAGCCATAGTAATCAAAACAGCTTGGTACTGGCATAAGAACAGACCTCAGGACCAATGGAATAGAATTGAAAACCCAGAAATGACCCTACAGACGTATAGCCACTTAATCTTCGATTAGGGAGCTAAAACAATAGAATGGAAGAAAGACAGCCTCTTCAGTAAATGTTGCTGGCAAAATTGGTTAACTACTTGTAGAAAACTAAAGCTAGATCCTTATATATCACCCTGCACCAGAATCAACTCCAAATGGATCAAGGACCTTGAAGTCAAAGCAGATACTCTGCAAACATTACAGGATGGAATAGGAGAAACCCTGGGTCTCCTTGGCTCAGGCCGAAATTTTCTGAATAGAGACCCGGAAACACAACAAATCAAAGAAAGGTTGGGCAAATGGGATTGCATGAAGTTGCAGAGCTTCTGCATGGCACAGGACATAGCTAACAAGATCAATAGAAAGCCCACGGATTGGGAGAAGATCTTCACTAGCCATACAATAGACAAGGGTCTCATATCTAAAGTATACTTGGAACTCAAAAAATTAAATCCCCCAACAACAAATCCTCAAAGAAACAACTGCCCAATAAATAAGTGGGCTAAAGACTTAAAGAGAAACTTCTCTGAAGAAGAAATAAGGATGGCCAATAGACACATGAAGAAATGCTCAACATCCCTAGCCATAAAAGGAATGCAAATCAAAACAACATTGAGATACCACCTCACCCCAGTTAGAATGGCAAAAATCAAGAACTCTAACAACAACAGATGCTGGAGGGGATGTGGACAGAAGGGGACCTTACTTCATTGTTGGTGGGAGTGTAAACTTGTTCAACCATTTTGGAAAGCAGTATGGAGGTTCCTCAAAAGAGTTCACATAGAGCTCCCCTATGACCCAGCAATCCCACTTTTGGGCGTTTACCCAAATGTTTACAAACAAGACCACACTAAAGCTACCAGCACAACTATGTTTATTGCATCATTATTTACCATAGCTAAGATATGGAACCAACCCAGATTACCCTCAGTAGATGAATGGATCAAGAAAATGTGGTATATATACACAATGGAATTCTGTACCTCCATCAGAAATAATGACATTGCCCCATTTGTTAGGAAATGGAAAAACTTGGAAAAAATTATATTAAGTGAAGTAAACCAGGCCCAAAGAAACATAGGTCCCATGGTTTCCCTTATTTGCAATATCTAGTATATGTGTGAGTCAAGCGGAAAAGTTCAGATAATGTGATGTTAGGAAAATGAACCCTTAGATATGTATTCTATTCGTTTTTTCTTCCATGCATTTGTTTCTAACACATTTATAAATCATATCTTTGTTGCTTTGTATGTCCCTCCCCCACAGTATAACCCCTGCTTTCACTATATTTTATGTCAGTATAACTTGTGGAGGAGATGGGGAAAAACAAGTCATTTAAGGATACAGGTGGACCTGTTGCAACAATGAGAAGTACAAGTTTTCATGTCGAAAACGAGCTTAACAACATTGGTGCAGGGGGGGGGGGTGCGGGGGGGGGGGAGGCTGGGAAGGGATGTGAAGGGTAAACAAATTAGCGGGTTGCAATGCTTGATAAGAAATGTACTCATTATCCTGCCCATGTAATTGTAACCCCTCTGTACAGCATGTTCACAAAAAAAAATTAAATTAAATTAAAAAAAATTACTAAAGTTGGGGACAATTTTGACCTGCCCTTTCATTCCTATCCTACTTAGATATAATTTTCCTGGTGTCTTTGCTTCTCTTTTCTATTTTATTTTCCTTTTTGTCAATGAGAGAGCCAGATGCGTACAGATGGGAATTAATAGGAGCAATCAACACTGATTGAGTACCTAACTAGATGAACACTTTCCAATATTCCAATTTTATGCCCACATCCACCTTGAAAGGTTAAACATTTACAAGTAACTTGTTCAAAGAGTTTAACTAAATTACTCTAGGTCGTATAATTTGGATGGACTATAATGTATAGTTAAAGCCAGGCTTGTAAAATGGCGTAAAGAAACAAGGAAGTTTTTCCTTCTTCAGTGCTGGGGATTGAAACCAGTGCCTCATATAAATTAGGCAGAAGCTCTATCATTGATCGACATGTCCACACCTTGCTGCATTTTCTTTTCAGGTAGTTTTCCCAACTGTAGAAGTTGTTAGTATTCTATTGTAACTAAAGACAAACAAATACAAATAAATCCACCAGATTATAGTTACTGAATCAACGTAAAATAGAATAACTCTTGAATGAAATGAAATTATAGGTAACTTTGGTCATTGAAAGAATCTGTGTGGTTCATAATTCCTCAAATAATTAATGAAAAAAATGATGTACAGATCTTAGAGTGAGTCTGGTTGAGACAATAAGTTTATACCAGTGTATTGGCCAGCCATTATTGCATACTCACCCCCAATGTTAGTGGTTTGTAGCAATAATCACTTATTTTTTCATGATTCCATAACCTGGACTCATTTGGGAACCTTGCCAAAGGCTGTGGTTTGAAATTTTGGCTTGGAATTCTGTCCCATAGGATCCGTAATCTTCTGTGATGCACTCATTCTTTTTCATATTAGTATCAAAATATACAAGTAACAAAATAAGAAATACTTTAATGTAAAATTATTCTCAAATATGTGGTTCCTTCACATTCTTAAGTTGCCCAATGACCAAAGCAAGTCACATAGCCAAACCTAGAGTCAGTGAAGGAGGGGAGATTACAGAAAAATATATACAGGCAGAGGTAATCCATTTGAACTTTTACTATAACAACTTGCCATGCCTTAGCAAAGGAAAGTTTTTCTGTAAAATATTTGCTGCTGTAAAAATGACAAAATCAACTAGTAATTAAAAAGCGTGTTGTTGTTTAAACAACAGAAAGTCTTTTTTTTCTGAAATCAAGTTCTTAGCTGTTTAAATTAAACTAATAGATTTAATTTTTCTTTTGGTAATACTACAAACAATATCTAAGAGAGAATCTTAACATGCAAAACAGAAGAAACTAGAACTGATCTGGTTGAAGTAAGAGAAAGTTTCAAGCTGACATTGACTCCTGTGTTCTCTCTACAGACAAATTAAAGCTATTGAGAATAAAAGGATAGCTAAAAATCTAAATTAATTATAGCATACAACTTGACTAACAAATCCATTTTTTCTGCTTAATTTTCCATGATTATTTGTAAACTTATCAAACATGGAAGAGATTATCTCCAGAAATGTCTAAAGTATTATAATATTTAAGTGTGAAAATGAAGACTGATGGGAAAGAGGAAGGGAAGAAAGTTAAAAGGCAAAAAGAAGAATGGAAGAAGGAAGGGCAATAAAAATAAGGAGGAAATTAGGAATGCGTGAATGGAAACAAAGTATTTGAAATCCACATAGAATACTGTGTAGACAACCTTTTCAAACTAACATACTCCAAATGATTGAGAGCATGGAATTCTCTTCCTATGAAGTATGTAAATATCTGCAAGGAAAACGGATATGCAGTTTCCTGTCTAATTTTACTGAGAAGTACTCACTATTTAGTCTTCCTGATGTCTTAAAGCATGGAGACAAAAAAGACTACAAGGAGATATCTAATTGCTATAATAAATAAACTGCAAGGATTATCAATTATTTCTCTAAAAGCCAAGTTCAGTTTACTAGGTATAGAAAAGTATAATCTTATTATATGTGCTGTTCAAATATAGTATGGCATCTTTGACATTCATCAAATATTGAGAGAGTCATATAGATCTTCCAGTATAAATGAAATTTATTTCTCCTTTTATGTATTTTCAGAATATGTGACCAGATGAAACCAAGTTGAAAATTTTTAAAGCTTTTCTTTTTTAGTTATTTGCTTTAAACATCTATAAATTCTAACAATATAACTTATTCCACATATTTTTGATTAGAAAATATCTGAATAGGTTTTTGGATATTTTAAAATTCAATCAAAAATACTATAAAGCACCATTTTACTTGGCAATGAAAAAATTCAGTTGTTACAGTTTAATTCATCTGTAATTATTGTGATTAGTGATAAAGCTGATAATAAGATACTTTGTTCCTTTTCAAATTGTTCTTTCAAACTTGCCTTTGGTTTCCTTTACCCTTGTCAAGTATTCTGAATTTTAAAGAAAAGCTGCACCTATATGATTAAGGTATTAAGTCCTGGAGTCAGCTACTCCAGGAAAAAGAAATGCAGAGAGACATCAGTGGTAAAGACTTCTTAATCAGTAATTTTTCTTTAGATTTAAAGGGCCCAAAACATCTGGTGACCTTCATATTAATATCAGAATATATATCAAAGAAATGGACCACTGCAGGATTAATGATTACTCTATTATCTTCACTGCATTCCCAGTGGCTCAAAATACACTTCCTTAAACTGTAAATGAAGATAACAAAGTGGAACTCACAGAAAGCTCCTGAATAGTAGGGAGTAGTAGGGATGGGAAAAGTGAGAGTAAAGGAAGGGGTCAGTCAGATTAAACTACTGTATATAAATGTGTGAAATACCACAGGGAATCTCTTTGAAAAATTAGCATACAATAAAAAATGAATGACAGGAATGTAGAACAGGTCCTGAGAGGAATGGGGTACTAGTGAGAGTGGAGTGGACTAATGGAGACAGTGAAGGAAAGTGAATATCATTAAAATACTATACTTGGCAAAATGAGAACAATGAAGCTTGTTGAGATTGGTGGGAGATAAAAAGAGGAGAAGGGAGAGTAATGGAAGAGAAATGAATATGACAATTGCACATCAGCTACCTTGTCAGAGTAAAAATGATTTCACTACCACTTTTTGACTCTCAGTTAATTGACTTTTGTCACTCAGAAAAATCTGACTGAGCTTTTTACATGGTAGCAATATATTGATGTTTATTTTTAATATTTCATTTTGTGCCTTTCTTTATCACATACATCATTTACTACATTTCCTCCATTCTTTACTACATCTTTAGTTCTTTGTCCCCATATTTTATTGGATTCAACAAGTTTCTTTTATGCCTACACCTATGTAGAAATTATGCATTCTACAGAGTTTTTGGTTGCCTGAAGTTTTCAACATTTATACTACATGTAAAATTATTGCTACATGTAAAATTACAGCTTAATCTGTAACTTTGCATTGATGCCCAAATTCTACACTTTTTTTAACCTCCAAAGTTATTGGTAATTCTGCCTTCATTCTCATTAATTAACCAACTCTACTCTCATCAAAAGCATACACCTTGGGTGGTTCCCACCACTGCCACCATCACCAGCACAACACATCGATGTTCAAGATTCTATACGTTCTTTTTTTTTTGGCGGGGGGGGGGGGGGGGGGGGGGTCCGGTGGTGGGGCTTGAACTCTGGGCCAGGGCGCTGTCCCTCAGCTCTTCAGCTCAAGGCTAGCACTCTACCACTTGAGCCACAGCACCACTTCCGGCTTTTTTCTTTTTGTTTATATGTGGTGCTGAGGAATCGAATCCAGGGCCTCAGGCATGCAAGGCAAGCGCTCTACTACTGAGCCACCTTCCCAGCCCCAAGATTCTATATATTCTTGAAAGGATAATGGTCCTCTACATTTTCTCCTGTAATTGCCGTTGTTTAAACTCCAGAAGCTTGTTTTTTTTTTTTTTTTTTTCAGAAAATATGCAATAGAATAGGACTATCAGAAAACCAGAACAATATGCAAAACAAGACGGATTAGCTCAAGTAGTTCACATACATTCACTCATTAGAAAAATAATTTTGAACTCCTACTGCATGACAGGATATATGCAACAAGGAGGCTTTCTAGTAGGTGTAAATAACAAGTTCCTGAGGAAAAAGCAGATCATGTAAGCAGAGTTCTCTTTACAACCAAAGTATGTTTTAATTGGACTGGAACCTGAAGAGGCCATTAAATGTGCTTTTCAATCTGGCCACATCAGCTCAGTAATTAGTGAAAATTTCTCATAGGATTCATGTAAATGGCTAGCTGTTATCTTGCTTTTCCATTACTGTTTAATTTTTGAATTTCTGTATGTCTTCATGGATCATTTAATGGAAAATTAAGAGAAGGCTAATCAAGAATTCTTAGCTTGCCAACATTTTAACTAGAAAGTTGTCTTTTTCATATATAATTTGCTTAAGAAGACAAAATTTCCCAAAGAAAACAATTGAAAATAAAATTTCACTTTTTAATTAACCCCTCCATGGGGAAGGAAGGAAGACATTGTTGACAGTCAATTAATTTTGTGTTTTGTATTTTCATTTCAGGATACCATATATTTTCTCTAATTGTCATGTTAAAAAAAAACGTTTTGGCCATAGCTAATTTTAAGGTTTTCTTTCCAGATTGATTTACTAACTGTGCAAATTAATTTGAATGAGCAACTAGCAAGGGAATGCACAGCATGTTCTCCAGGACTTAAACTAGGATAAATGGCTACAAAATTCCTCATTAAATGCCTCTCTAAATATAGTACTGCAGAATGTATGTTCACCATTGGAGACCTAATAGAATGAGAAACTTTTTATAAAGTTCATAGTTTTTTAACTTATGGACCCTAATAAAATAAAAGAGTTATCGCCAAACTGAAAACATACTAAAAATATAACAATAGAATATATGTAGTCTTATAATTATGTTGATTTGGTTATATTTAGTTATTTGACTTATAGTATTTCTTTTCAGTGATATGGAGCACAATTGTGTCTCATTGTTATATGAGAAGTAGAAGGAAAGACACCGAAGTGAACAGAAAATGTAAATCTTAGTACAAGCCATAGACTGTGTAAGGGGAGAGATGTTGAAATTTAGAGAATTATATTCCAAAAATATGAAAACTTTCAGCATTATAAACATTGTTTCTTCTACCCTGAGGCAAAGAAAAAGCTATCTGGAATTTTGTTTATCTACATTGAGAGCAGATTGCAAAAGAAATACACATTTCTTAAGATGGAGTCCAACAGTAATATTTTTCCAGTTAAAAAAAATCTTATATGTACCTAATTTATATATTGGTTGTTTACAGTATTTGAATTTGCCTCCCAAAATATCAATCACTTTTGGGCACAGTTATACATTCACATATATTTACAGTACAGCTGAGGTTCCATTAATGATCTCATAGCCTCTATAATTTAGGATTTCTATATTTCAACTATATAAATAATTCACGGTAAGTATGAATGGGTATAAATAGAATTGCAAAAGGTTGGTAAACTTAGAATTTTATGTAAAATTATGCAATGCTATCTTCAGTTGTAAGTTAATAGTTAAATTTCAAAAGCATGTATATCATTGATATACCTTTTATGTTCTTAAAATGATTCTTGTGATCTTCATCTTTAGATAACTGACTAAACAGAGCCATTTATGTGCACTATATCATCCTACAAAAATAATGGAAAATTCTGCTTTTCAGAAATGTCAAAAGTAATTTACCTCTTAGAAAATAATACTGGTAGCTTGGGACTGACCCTTCACTCTTATAATTCTACCTAATTCAGGAGGCTGAAATCTGTGTATGAAAATATCCCATATGCATGAAAATAGCCCATTGAGCTTCTATAATATTCATTCCTACCACTATCTTCTTCCTTCTCCTCCCACCTACTGACTTCCCTCTGTCAATAATAATCTTTTCACAATGATGTATTATTTTTAGATATAGATTTCATGTTTTTTTTGTTTTTTATATTTGAATATTTTAAAAGGACATCTATATTTCCACATAGTCTGTTATTGCCATAGATAAGAGCTAATTTTTAAACTCTTGTTACCTGCATGGAGATGTGTTATTTTCTTCTGGGCATCCTCATTTCCTAGAAAGATAAAGAGAACAGATTTTCCTTCAATTTAGAAGTTGTGACCACTCTTTCTGACTTAGAAACATTGCACAATGGCTATAAATTCACAGAACAAGCAAAATTTCAATAAAAGTAAATGTATGCAAAATATCATTTGTAATTCATACCACTGGAATTATGGTACATTCTTTGAATAGTTCTGCTGAAAAAATTACATTCTTGTTGTTGTCTAGTGTTTAAAGGAACTCAAATGAAAAAGATAATTTTAAATAAATAATATTTAGTATCTTTTTATATCTGATAACTTGTATTTGATAATATCAGTGTATCAATATTTGCATTAACCCTGGTTAATGTTTTCTTGCTAGAGAATAGAGAGGCACAGGAGACCAAGAGCAAAATATATAAGTGATAAAGAACCTGGTTCATATAGAAGATAAGCAACACATAAATACACATGGTTGCTTTCTTAACATAAATAATGACAAATATTCCAATTAACATGTTGCTGGTTACCTTTTATGGTAATAGCCTTGGTTTCCTGAGATTCAGTTGGTTTACTAGTTTGTATTTCTGGGATCTGTGGTATGAAGATAATCCTAGGAACATGAAAATATTCTGGAAGGCTTAGTTGTGCTAAATACGGAATAGCCTTAGGCTTCTTCAGCTTTGATAAATTGAAGAGCATAAGACACTGCAAATAATTGGTAAAGTTGAATATAGTCCTCTGAACTTTTATCTTCAAATCAGAGCTAAACATTATGTACTTAATAAGTTGAGGCAAAATACATTAAAAGATTAGTTTACCTGTTTATAAACATAGATAATTAGTACTGAACAGTTAGGTAACTAGTACTGGACAATATTAACACATTTCACAGAAACAACAGTCTTTTATTGAGAGATAGTCAACAATCAACTATTCTAATGTTTTCAGAATAAGTAACTAATTACCTCGGAAGGAACCATTCTACTATTGAATAGCACTGAAAATTCTTTTCTTTCTTGTATCTTTTTGTTTTTATTTACTTATTTTTTTGAGAACAGTTTTCACCCAATCCCCCTGCTACAAATCTCCAATTGCTGGGATGACAGGAATGAGTCACCACACACCACACTCAGTTCATATATTGTTCTTATTACAGATAAAAACTGAGCATTCCCTGTTCACCAATGTTGAATTTATAAATATAGAATAATTAAATCCTCCCACTTTACAGATGTATTATGCTTAGGTTTGATATTTTTTATTCTTTCAATCATTATTCACTAAATGTAGACTATAACAACTTTTACATGCATATACTCCTCTAGACACAAAACAGTCCTTCTAAAAATATTACAGTGAAGATAAAACCTAGTCTTACAATACAAATGAAGCAGGTTACAAGTGATATTTTAAATCTAGTTTATAAAGTGACAGGATACATAACATACATAAGGTGTCAAAGGAAAAGACAAAATACCATAAGAAATTTTTTTTTCCATTCTAGGTACTCACAATCTGACAAGAGAAATAGGTTAGTGCAAAAGTAAATCTCCTCTAAAACCCATGTTAAATGCAATGATAAATGCAAGTATGCTGGATTCTAGGAAGAAATCTAAAAGGAGAAAGAGAATGTCATGTACCAAACCCACCTCCCTCAATGATTCTGTATTTAAGTAAAATTTAGGGGGGGAGGAGGAAAAATATAAAAACATAAATATAAAAAGGATAAAGAAAGCATGGTGATGTACTGAAAGTTTCAAATGTCTGCTCATTGAAAATTTTTATTGTTTACTGAACAGTTAAATATAAACCTTCTCAAATATGCTGTTCTATAATAGAAATAAGTTATGATTCTTTGAAGGGAATCATCAGCTTCTTGGAAATGTAGTAGAGATCTTAATTAAGAGCATATCAAACATTGTTGCCCCTCCACATTGTTGTTCCTCTACTGAACCGCCTAGAATCTACAAACCCAGGCTGAAGAAAAACACCAGTCCTAGCACTTACTTCTGCTTCTAATAGTTACGTGCTAAAAATGTGTTTTGGCTTTAGAAAGGGATGGATGAGCGGACAGATCTGAGATGGATCTGGGTAGAAGCATAGGGTAGAACCTTTTCAAGTGCAGAACACAAACCTCACCCCAATGTTTGACACAAAATTTACTACCTTACATATATAGCTGTAACCCCTTGAATTAAATGAAATTAAATTCAAAAATGACAGTGAAATTAAATTTAAAAAGAGCACATGAAAGTTTCTGGCTTTAATATTTTAAATGAATTGGAACTTAAAAATTTAGCTTATCTTTGAAATAAGTTGGTGGGAGTCTGTGATTAGTCTGTGTTAATTGTAGTATCCTAACAAAAGAAAAATTCGTAATAAGTCAAATATTTTTGTGATATATATATATATATATATGAAGATAAACCTTAAAGAGCAAGGATAAAACTTCATATAAAATGTACATAAATTAGAGTGCAAAACATCCTTCAAGAACAGTTTAACAGAGATATGTAGTAATTAAAGGAAGCATCATTGTTTCTCAAATAAATATAGCAGAATAAGTTCAAAAGGCATGGAGAATATGCCTCAGATATTTGGAGAAAAGGAGGCTTGTGCTGCCTGAGGTGGGGTTCTATATGAAACTGGCTTCCAGTCAAAGGCTTGACACTAGTAAACTAGATGAACTAGCCATGAAAATCATGTAGACCATCCTGAAGATTATATGTGACAGAAATTGGAAAGTCAGTACACCAACATGGGCAGTTTTCCCTTTTAAGGAAATGCTTTCCCTGCTCAGTGAGAACAGATTGTACCTATTTCAAGCTATAATAATAGAGTTTATAGTAGCAGTAGTAGTAGTAGTAGTGGTAGTAGTGGTAGTAGTAGTAGTAGTAAAAATAATCATAATAGTAGTCATAAATGGAACAATTATGCATAGCAGTTATAGACACTAAGCATTTTATATAATTATTTCATTTTCAAAATTTATACTGTTATATTAAAAGATAAATGGGAGATGAAGAAATTTAAGTAACTAAACCAGAACAATATTGTTGGACAGTGTTAGAGTCTGGATTCTCAGTCTGTCAATCTGACAGCAGACTTGATTCTGTTTGGATTGTATAGCAAAAATATCCTGGAAAACTTGTAGAAATTTCTCTTGTATAAATATAAATTTAATTGTTCTGGAATGGTGCCTAGGTACTGGTGTTACTTTAAGTTCTTCAGAGTATTGTAATATCCAACCAAAATTGTGATTTCTGTGACTTAAATGCTGATTTCTACTGTGTAAAATTGTGCAAAATTATTTATTGTTTCAGAAGTTATTATTTAATGAGGTTTCGCAAAGACTAATGAGGTGACTTTCTGAGGAAAAAGAATTTCATTCTTCTATGTAAAAATGTTATTATTCAGTAATAATAGCACCGTATGTTTATGACTAATTGAAGTACAACATCTGTGATTATTCCTACCTCAACTTTGGTCAGTCCTAAGAGGGCGATGGCTACACGGACACTACTGCTTTGTAGTGTGCCTGTGATCACTCTTCGTTCATATTCAAGAGTAGACATCTGCTGTCTTGCTGCAAAAGCCAAAGCCCTTTCCTTGGCTTCATTTGTCAGTGGTAATTTAAGGTTCACATCTAGGACTTCATTGGATTTACATTTCAAATACAGAATATTACTCTCAGCATATTCTAGGGAAAGCAAAATAGTCATAAACAATATAATTGACATTGTTATCCAAGAAGGACTAAGAGGTCTGAAATATATAGATGCAGCTATTGTATTTATTAAACAATAAATATAAGCAGATGATAAATTTCTATTATTACCTATTCAATGTCTCAAGAGTAAATCTTCTGTAATTAAAGATATTTCATTGATATTCAACCAGAGGTGGTCAAGTGGCTCTTCCATTTTAAAAATTAATCAACATTATTACAAAAAGCATTCTGTGTGCTTTTGTCTGTATTAAGAACGTAGTAGAAGGGTGTGGTGAATTCTTCAATAAAATATCACACAGTGAGACCAAAGGAGGATATTCTTAGGAGAGGATCATAATTCATGTGGTGGTTAATTCTTCAATAAAATATCACATAGTGAGACTAAAGGAGAGGATCATAAAGTCTCAATAGCTATGCACATATGATCATATAAAACGATATTTATCAAAATGAACTCCAAGAAATGGAAATGAGTTTTTTTCTTTGTTTTTATTTTCTGTAACTTTTGTCTTGTTTATAAGTTTATCTGTTTGGAGATGGAAAGGGGGGGCATAGAAATGGAGGTATACAGGATGAATGAATGCAGTAGTGATACTCACTAGATACTATGTTGAAAAATAAACTCTACAACTTGTGGAGGAGAAGGGACAGAAGGGAAAACCTGGGAGAGAAGCAAGAGAAGGGCTGGCACTGTACCAAAAGAAATATACTCTTTATCTGGCTTATGTAACTGTAGCCCATCTGTATATCTCCTTTACATTAACAATTTTTAAAGGGGATTATGTATACACAACCTAAAATTAAGAAAAGTAAGTGAAAGGATGAGTTGGGAGAGTTGGGTGAGAATGTTGAAAGGGGTAACATTGATCACGATTCACTGTATTTTAAGTACTTTGGTGAACGGTAACTCCTTTGTACAACTACTTAAAGATAATAAAAGTATTCAAGAAAATGTTGGAGAAACAGAAATAAACACAAAAAGATAACTACCAATGAGTGGCAAGAAACACCATTTGCTTTTAATAGTAACCTTATATCTAAATGCTTACTTGTTTCAGGAATAATAATCAAGAATTAGACAGCAAGGTAGAATTCTAGGTTATATAACAATATGGATTATTCAGAACATAGTAATATCCTAACTGCATGAGAAATTGATAGTTGTGCTGAGCAATATTTTGTAGGCCAAATTCCAAACCTTATCTAGTCCTAAAAGGAAATTTTAAAAAGAAATGGCCATTAATGTTTTCAGTTGGTAAAATGGTGTTACATTTTATAGATAAGAGTATAATATAGCTAAAGGGGGCTTCCAAATCTAGTTATATAGTGGAGAAACTTTCTTTGAGAATTCATGCCATTCTTTAAGGAATATCATCAGTTTTAAAATTGCAAATTAAATAAAACATGTGTCTATACCTTCATCTGGAGAACTACTGTAATCAATAGGACCAGGTGGTTTCATTGGAAGCAAACTGGATGGCAAGGGGATCAAACCTTTTCCTTCTACAAGGTATATTAATTCTCCAATCTAAAATATAAGCATACAATAATACAGAAATTTAAGTGGCCATAATATATGCTACATGTTGTAAGGGAAATATTTATCCTGTAAGTCCTTTTCATGCTTTCTTTTCTGAGAAACATAGCCTCTAAATAGGTGTATGATATTAAAGCTTCAATATACCTCTACCACAGTGTATATCATACTTCTACCACAGTGTATATCAGAATGGATTCGGATAGACATTCAACTACTTGAAAATCAAAATGAAACAAACCTAGCTTTGAAGTTGGAATTACAGTGTCCTATAATCCTATAATGTTAACAAATATTACCTGCCTGGTTGAATTGAAGCCCCAGCACTGGCATACACACACACACACACACACACACACACACACACACACACAATCATGAAATCTGAGATCAAGTCTAAAATTAAGTTTTCAGTGGTAAGTCAAACGAAGAACAAATTCACTATTTTAACACAGAGACTATGTGTTCACTTTTAATTTGTAATTTTCCCATCCTATTTACCTAAATATGTTGATTTACTCAAATAATAGTACATATAAAAATTAATATCAATGAGTATAGAGTAACTATAATTACACACTGAAACTAGTGTGCCTGAATGGAACTAGAACTACAATTTGACTACCCTATAAAAACAAAAATGACTCGAGAGTTTATGTAAGACCAGTAAACTGCTATTTGTCAGAATATTTCCCGCAAGGATAAATTATGAACAGCGTTCCAGTCACTAGACAAAAAATATGAGGAAAATATAATTCTCTCTCCATATATGTGTGTGTGTATATATATATATATATGTATATGTATATATATATATGTGTATATATATATACACACACTGTGTATATATATACATACATATACATATATATCTGTATATACACACACACACACATATATTTGTGTGTGTGTGTGTGTATGTGTGTGTGTGAGTGTGCCAGTTCTGGGGCTTGAACTCAGGGCCTGAGTGAGCACTGTTCTTGAGGGATTTTTTTTGGGGGGTGGTTGTTTTGGTTTTACTCATCATGGTGTTGAACTCTGGGCCAGGTTCTGTTCCTTAATATTTTGATTAAGGCTACTGCTCTACCACTTGAACCACAGCACCACTTTCAGCTTTTTCTGAGTAGTTTATTGGAGATAAGAGTCTCACCAGCTTTCCTGCCTGGACTCACTTTGAACTGCAATCCTTAGATCTCAGCCTCCTGAGTACCTAGCATTATCGGAATGAGCCACAGGTACCTGGCTTGTTCTTGAGATTTTGCCCAAAGCTAGCACTCTACCTCTTAAGTCATAGTTCTACCTCTAGTTTTTTGGTGGTTAATTGGAGATAAGAGTCTCCAGACTTTTCTGTGCAGGCTGTCTTTGGACTGCAATCCTCAGAACTTAGCCTTCTGAATAGCAAATATTATAAGCATGAGCCACCAGCTTAATCCTGTATTTTATACACATATATTATCTTTTAAAAATTATTTATATTATCTTTCAAAAATTATTTTGTTGGGCTGGGACAGTGGTTCAGTGGTAGAGCGCTTGCCTTGCATGCCTGAGGCCCTGGGTTCGATTCCTCAGCACCACATAAGCAAAAAGAAAAAAGTCGGAAGTGGCACTATGGCTCAAGTGGTAGAGCTGCTAGCCTTGAGCTGAAGAGCTGAGGGACAGCACCCAGGCCCAGAGTTCAGGCCCTATGACTGGACCCCCCCAAAAAAATATTTTGTTGAATTTGTTCATTTTCAATATTTAAATTAATTTCAAATATTTTGATTATAATTTTAATATTTAATTTTAATATTAAAATAAATTGTAATAATTTAAATTATTTAAATAATTTTCAATTAAATTTAGTATTTAAGTAAAATTTCTATTTGAAAACACACACTATAACTGAAAATATTATGTATTGGAGTCAGAAAATGTATTGGAGTTCAGAAAATTGTAGTTCAATGTAGTGTCATTACTTCCTTCCATGCCTCTTGGAATAAAATTAGTCCAGGCAAAGAACATTAATACTCCAAAAAAGACTTAGGTATAGAAATCCCAACTCTAGATACTGTGTTAAGAAAAAGAAAATTATCTGACACTTAACATAAAGTTATCCCTTGTTCTAATAGTTACATGTGCAAGTTACATCTGCTCTTGATTACATATCTTCAGTTGGCATACTTAGCTGAAATTCTACTGTATTTTTTAGAAAAATGCTAAATTCCATTTGCAATTCTAAGAAATCCTCATAGAAGATATTTATTTCTCTTCTGTATTCTGTTACATGTAGTCCTCAAAATAGCAGTTACATGCAACTTTACAGAAGACCAGCTGTTAATTACTGGGAAAGGGGGACACAACACTGAATTTCAGGAAAGTTTGGATCTTGGCTCTTTTATTAATTAGCTGGGTAATCTTGGCTAAGTTATGCATGTCTTCCAAATACAAATAAACTCAATTTTAATAAAAGTAAAAGAGAAATAAAAGCACTGAACTAGGCAGAAATATCTTCATTGTTTTCATTAGCCCTAACCTCTGTTTATTATATTATCTTGGTTTCAAGTATTACTAGTTTTTATAACTAATTTGTTTCAAATAGTTGAGTAATACATTATTTTTATGGTTACACAGGCAAATAGGAGATAAGCAAAATGTCTAAAATGTTAGAATTTTAAATTACATATTCTAAAGAATGATAATCATTGTAAGTGACTGTATGGCTTTGCCATAATTCTAATGTTAACTTGACCTGTAAGAACAATCATTGTCATTTGAAAATGATGGTTTTACAGAATAATGTAAGAAATAAAGTAAGTCAGATAAACGAGCTAACGGCAACAATGAAGACAGATTAAAACCTACAAAAAATACTATGCCTGCAATGTAAATGTTAAATTCACAAAAACAAATAAAAATGTTTTTGTTTATACACGGAAGTGGCCTTACTACTTGACAGTTCTCAACAGGTAGGTCTTACTTACAAAGAAATCTTCACATATTTACTAAGAGCAGGAGCTAACTAGGTGGGCTGGATATTTGATTTCTAGTTAAGCATGTAATTGCATTTTGATGAAATATGTAAATTAATAGATGTTTCTCCAATGAGCAACTGTAACTTAATGCACTCTTTTAACCTAGGGCATTATTTCCCAACAGGAAGATAATTCCAAATTTGTTATTTATCTTAATGTTTTTTTTTCTGATAAGGACACAACTAAATAAAGATACATCAATATGTATAATTTTATTTTTATTTATTTAGATTAAATTAATGCTAATATATTTCAAAGAATAAAATCAACCTATCCACTGTATTATTGACCATTCATTCCATTTTTTTCTGAAGTTATACTATAGTTAATTTTAAAAAGAGATTTTGAAACATTTGATCAAACTACTGACAACTAATAATAACTATTCAGCTGTAACAAAATTTACTCATTATCAGTGGTACTCTTGATATTCCTGATGGTAAAGTTTTTGCCATCCAATTTGAGGACTAAAATTACATACATTTTGTAGTCTCCAGCTCTTTTCAAGTGGCCTGTAATTCTTTTAGGAAGTACCCCAGTATGGAAGTGCAGATCCAGATTCTGTCTTACCTCTTTATTACTTAAGATGATAGCGCAGTAACGTATGTGCATGTTAAAGGGAACGTAGTATAGCTCAAAGGTTGAAGATCCTTTCCCTTCCAAATGTATGCTATTATATGAGCAGAAGAATTCTCGTATATAAGTGGAGTTAATAGCTATCAAAATAAGACACAGATATTTGGTATGTAATAAATACTATTCAAAGGGGCTATTTCCACTAGTGATTAACATTTGGGGATCTATAAAAATGTTGAAAGCATAGAAACATAAAAGTGTAAAACAAAAGTATGCCCCTCCAAGCTTTGTATAACAAAAATGTGCAATATGACCTTCTATTAAAGATTCCTTAACAAAGCATTTTGTTAGAAAGAGAATTTCACTATTGTTTAACTTATGTATACTTATTAGATTTGCCCATAAATCTCCAAAATGTTGTGGACTCTGTAATTGTCTAATTACAAAATATAACAGATAATTTGAACTGAAAATGACTGTTTTTCATATTCATTACTACTGTTTAGTATACACAAATAGATACGTTTATATGTATTTATCCATTTATATACAAATTGATCACTTACACATATAAAATTATATATATGTATATATATATGTATATATATATATATGTATATATATATATATATATATATATATACACACACACGTGGAACACATGAATATATTTTTGATATGGCCTTGAGTATAGTAGTAGGGCAGGCCAGCTGAGTGACTTCATCCTAACAACTAGTGTTGTGGAATGCAGCAGAACAGCAGGGATGTGATTTCTGATACAAAATCTGAAAAAGTAACTGAATTAAAGCATCAATTCTCTCCAGGTACTTTAGAACACAGCTGTGCTATAAGAATCCTAGCCATATGAAAAGGCTCCCAGCTGAAATCCCAAGGAAGAGGTAGAATTAACTATCAGACCATGTGACATGACTCAAGCTGACAGCAACTTTAGGAGAGACCTTGAGGTAGCTACCTGACCTCAGTTTTCCCAGCAATACAAGAGAGAATAACTATAACTGAATTCATTTGTTTGATACCAGGACATTCTAGGTTGTTTGTCTTTTAGCTTTTATTTATTTTCCTATCTGATATTCTACCATCTTGTCTAGACCTACAGTTATTTCATAAAAAAGTAAACATGTCTTCCTTTAAAATTGAAAACTTGGTGATAGTTGGGATTTAAATAGATTTAAGTAGGATTAGAAGAGAGAAATCACATCCCCTGTAGGTTGGAGGACACTTTCAGTGTGGTGAAGGGGAAGGTATCATCAGAGTCTTCTGAAGGAGGGCAATACTGTAGCCTCCTGTCCAACCAACCATCCCCAAGACTTATCATTTTATATTATGTTTTTCTCATTAAAATAAGTCAGGAACAAGTACAAAGTTTAACTTGGAGTACTCACAGGTTTTGAAGCCATTTCCAGAATGAGAATAGCCCCTATGGATATCATATTCATTGCCACTCATACAACCACTGTCACAAGAAAAGAAGAAAGTGATACCAACAGTACTCACCAAAAAACTCAATACAACTGACTGAATTAAATCTTACAGAATCATGAAAAAGATGTCTGTCTACAATTTGGCATGTTAAAATAAATGTTTCAAGTTCATGTGTGTTGTGCGTCTGTGTCTGTGTCTGTGTATGCATATGTTTGCAAGCAAGTACCAGTTCTTGAGTTGAGCGCTTTGTGCTGTTACTCAGAGTTTTGCACATGACTGATCATTCCACCACTTGAATTAGGCCACTAGTCTAGCTTTTTTGACTGCTAATTGTGAATAGACTCATGGACTTTTCTGCCTGGGTTGGCATCAAATCTTGATCCTCAGATCTCAGCTTTCTATATAGCTAAGATTGTGAGTGTGAGCTACCAGCACCTGACCTTCAAATATGATGATATTTATGTTATTTTAAAAATTCAAAATTACAAAACTACAAAAATATTTCAAGTTTCCAGCACTATTTTTATAAAATAGAGATAAAAATTCAATTTTTACCTTAAAAGACTGTCAAAATGTACTTATTATTATGATATTTGTACATTTTGACAGTAAAGTAGAAACTCAAAAATTAAGAGCTCTCAGTTTAGGACTAAACAAACACTCTCATCAAAAGAGTTTCTAGAACCTTTTCCTTGACAAAATTCTCTTTTCTGCTTATTATTTTCATATTTTCTTCTGTTTTAAAAAGTAAAGGGGACACTAACAGTTTTAATATCTTGGAGTGGAGTTTTGGTGATGTACTGTAGCAAATTAAAGCCTCAAGCAATTGCTTCACTGACAGGTTCCAGTTCTTTCAGAATCCACCAATTCTAAGCCGGGCGCTGGTGGCTCACGCCTGTAATCCTAGCTACTCAGGAGGCTGAGAGCTGAGGATAGTGGTTCAAAGCCAGCCCGGGCAGGAGAGACCGTGAGACTCTTATCTCCAATAAACCACCAGAAAACTGGAAGTGGCGCTGTGGCTCAAGTGGTAGAGCGCTCGCCTTGAGCTGAAGAGCTGAGGGACAGTGCCCAGGCCCAGAGTTCAAGCCCCACAACCGACAAAAAAAAAAAAAAAAAGAATCCACCAATTCTTTCACAGAGCAATCACTGAAGAAATCAAACATTTTATAATAGATAAAATACTTAAAATTTCCCAAACATTAACATAAATGTAATACTCTTTCAGAAAATGAATCATATTCATTTTAATCACAGCAGGATCAGCACAAGAGTAATGATGGTTTCTGATGACTTTGACATTGGGATTTGTATGCAATCAAAATTACTAAATTTTCTCCTGATCTTGTTTTTTGCATTTAAAATATGACATTGACACTACTGAGTATCATACAAAAATGAATAAATTAATAAAGTTCAAAAATATAATAGTAATAATAAAAAATATTCATGTGTTTCACTAGTAGAGACCGACATCATCTTTTTCCTTCCTTTCTTTGAACTTTGAAATAGTTTCAAATTATAATTTTTTAAATGGCTATTTCATAGTTTTAAATGAATAAGAACTATAAATAAATCTTTTAAAATTTCTTGTTTGATCAGAAGTCAGTTTATTTTTAAGCTAAATATAGACTTGATAAAGTAAAAGTTATTTTTAATCTAAATACACAACTCATGGAATAAGAGAAATAGTTGAGCTTCGTCCATAATCTTTGTTTCCAAATTTACCAACTTGATAAGGTCTATTTGTATCTCCAGTGTAAATACTTAGGGTAATTTGTCAATATTCAAGGAACTAAACAGATGAATGGAAAGTTCTAGTCACTGATTTGTCTAGTTCCCTGCTGAGGTAAACCGCTCAGGTCAAGTAGATCGGGTTTGATCTCTGTCTTTGGTATCTGTTTCATGGGCCAAGACTCACATAAATCACTTGACATTTTTTCACCCCATTATCTTTTCATAAAATAATACATTCTAACAGAATGATTTGTTTTAGGACTGATGTTAATAATCTGTTCATACACACATCTATCTGTCTGGCTGTCTACTCATGTCCACACAAACATAATGCTTTTAGGATAAGGGATTCACTATTCAAACCAAGACCTTGTGATATTTTTACTGATCATAACTACTATGAATAAAGAAAATTTACATTTTCATCAAGGATATATTTATAGAAACTTCATGTGCAGTACATACGCAATGGAATTTTACTCAACCATTAAAAAGAATAACACTATGTCATTTGCAGGAAAATGTATAGACAAAGAACTTATATAAAGTGAAGTAAGCCAGGCTCATGTTTCACTCATGTATAGAGGCTAGAAAAAATACAACTATGCATGCTAACATACAAGGGCTCAATGCATTTATACACAAACTGATAAAAGGTGGGTATATTTAGGGGAGGAATCCAAAGGCACAACTTTTCTGAACAACTATGGTATTGTTCATCAAAACAAATACCGGGAAGTGGAAACATGTGGGGGATGATAAAAGTGGGAAAGGGCACCAGAATGGAAAGATGAGCAAATGTAGTTATTATATTCAATGTACATGATATAAAAAATGAACTATATAACTTGAGGGTAGAGATGGAAGGAGAAAAATGGGAAAGAATGAAGGAAGGCGTGACATTGACCAAGAAGCAATGAACTCATAACCTGATTTGTAGAATTTTATCCCCTTACAATAATAAAAAAATTCATGTGCATGAACCTACTAACACTTAAGCACATATTTCTCTAAGCATGTAAATAATATAAATTAAGCATTTCAAATAAATGAAAACTATTGTGTAATTCTACCTATCTATCATCTATCTACCTCTCTCTCTCTCTCTCTCTCTCTCTCTCTCTCTCTCTCATTATACATAAAACAAATTTCCAGAAGCACTAATTCTTACAACCTTTTCTCATATACTATGTGTACAAAATATTTAGGCATTTACCTATGCTTAATTATTCGTCCAGGATCAGTTAATTGTGACGGCAAATGGATAAGAGTTGTGGATTCTACCAGAGTTATACTGAAATAGAAAAATAATTGGTGTCAATTATACTGCAACAAAATTTGGATATCCACAAAATATTATTGTTTTATATTTTCCTGGATCATTTATAAAATTATGAAATCATATTATAAAATGTTATTAAAATCAGAAAAAATACAATTTAAAACATTCATTTATCCTTGTTCTGCAGCTCAAAGTATACATATTATAAAATGGGAAGACATTTAATATAAATATTTGAAATAATATTACTTGATATTAAAACACAAATAAGATTTTCTTTTATATGAAAAGGCAACAACTAATTTTAATAGCAATAACATTCAAAACATCTACTGACTGCAAAAATTATAGTACTGAAATAAAAAAGAAATCATACAGTGGTACTAATACATAGCCAGAGCTTTATGCATAAAGTATAATTTCAAATTATACTTCCAGGAAACAGAAAGCATATCTTTCACAGGTAGTATGAAATGTGGGAAGGTAATTAACCCAATAATTTCCTGGTAGAGATTTGGCTAGTAGTGGTTAAGCTCTTGTCTAGCAAACACAAAGTCTTCAGTTCCATATTTAGCATTGCAAAAGTAAATATCTAGAAAATGAGCATATTATTAAATATGCTGTCTTCTGGAATCTCACAGTAGTACAGTTCTTCTTGTATGATAATGTACATTCATTCAAGAAAGATACATATTCCTTTGTGAGTTAATGTGAGTGAAGGTATTAAATAAATGCAAACATGAATGTACAATCCCCCTTGAATTAGATTGCTTACTTTATCACAGATAAAATAGAATAAACAAAAAAATCCTGCTGTAATAGTAGATGAAAGATACCATTAAAATCATGGCTGTTATAACCCCTGTTTTCACTGTATTTGATGTTGGTATAATTTGGGGAGGAGAGGGAAAAAAACAAATTGCTTAGATAGGGATACAGGTGGACCCGTTGCAACAATGAGAGGTACAAAATGCTATGCTGAAAAACGAACTTTACAATTTGGGGGGAGAAGGGGGAAGAGTGTAGTTGTGGAGATAGGAGGGCAGGGATGGTAGGGGAAAAACAAAGGAGGAGGCAACAATGCTTGATTAAAAAAAAAGTATGCATTACCTTGCTCATGTAATTGTAACCCCTCTGTACAGTATTTTCACAATAAAAAAACTTATTAAAATTTTTAAAAAATCATGGCTGTTAATGTGGTGGCTCATGTCTGTAATCCTAGCTACTCAGGAGGCTGAGATCTGTGGAACATAATTCAAGGACAGCCCAGGCAGGAAAGTTCATGCATCTCTTATCTCCAAGTAACCACCAAAAAAGCAGTGCCTCAAGTGGTAGAATGCCAGCTTTGAGGAAGAAGTTCAGGGACACCACACAGGCCCCAGAATTGCCACTATATACAGGATATATAGGATTATATATTGAGGTTCAAAGAAGAATATGATAACTTCATTAGAGATAATATATTAAAAACTAAATAACTCATGTCATACTGGTTATAATTTTTAAAAATTATATAATACATTAAATTTACTTGCCTTTATTATATTGTATAATCTATTTCAAACATAATTTGAATATTAATTCTCTTTGTTTATTTACAATTTTTGAATGCTATATTTATGTAAGGATAGATTCAAATCCCCTAAACTAGTCAGGTGTGGTGGTACATGTCTATAATTCTAGTACTTGGGAGTCTAAAACAGAAGGATTGCAAGTTCCATACCACTGTGAAAAAGACAAACAGTATTAGGCCAGCCTTGGCTTCATAGGGAGACCATACTTCAAAAAAAATACTTCTGTTAGCCATTTTCCCACTGCCAAAAACATATACTTCTCCTAAGAATTAGCCTCTGAAATCAATGATCAAAACATATTAAAGTATTACAGTTTGGGGGGAAACAAATGTATAACATTTTTCCAAATGCTGCGATATTTAGATTTTCTTTCAACTTCAACACTAGAAAGCAGAAGCATAGGACTAACTTTTTAAGGTTGTGCTTTTCTCTGAAAACTGCAGCCAGACATTTGGTTTACTCAAAGATACTTTTTAATAGTGGGTTAACACATGTGCTCCCATTTTATTGCTTACACTTCAAAATAACAAAATGGAACAAATTATAAGCTACAGTATTCTTGCTTACATGTATGAGAAAATAAAAATGTTATAAATAGTTGTTTCAAGAATTTTCTTCTATTCTCAATGATTGATATTATCATAAACTACCAAAATCCTTCATAGTTATGAAAGACATTGAAAATGGTCAAATAGTAAATAAATCATAAATTATTAAATAATAGGCATATTATATCATATTCAGACTTCTAGTCTCAAAATAATAATAGTGAGTGAGTCTTTAAACTGGAAGAATTAGAGTTTCTAATTTTTAAGCAGTATATGAGATATCTTCCTCCTCATCATGAAAAACTTCTAAGAAATTTTATAGTGCCTTTGATTAAAAAATTATTTCCATCAACTTATCTGACCTTTTTTGCTTGACTCAGACATATACTAGATATTGCAAATAAGGGAAACCATGGGACCTATGTTTCTTTGGGCCTGGCTTACTTCACTTAATATAATTTTTTCCAAGTCTTTCCATTTCCTAACAAATGAAGCAATGTCATTCCTCTGATGGAGGCATAGAATTCCATTGTGTATATATACCACATCTTCTTGATCCATTCATCTACTGAGGGGCATCTGGGTTGCTTCCATATCTTAGCTATGATAAATAATGCTACAATAAACATAGCTGTGCTGGTAGCTTTAGTATGGTCTTGTTTGTGGTCATCTGAGTAAATGCCCAAAAGTGGGATTGCTCGGTCATAGGGGAGCTCTATATAGAGTCTTTTGATGTTAGGGGAATGAACCCCAAGATAAGTATCCAAATGTTTTTTGTTATTTTTTCCTTTCATGAAATTGTTTCTAACATATTTATAAGATGATTTATATGTTGCTTTGTATGTCCCTCCCCCATGGTATAACCTATGCTTTCACTGTATTTAACGTTGGTATAATTTGTGGAGGGGAAAGGAAAAAACAAATCGTTTAACTAGGGATACAGGTGGACCCATTGCAACAATGAGATGTACAAGTCGTTATGTCGAAAAATGAACTTTACAACTTTGTTGAGGGGGGAAGACCAGGTGGGGAGAAGGGGGAGTATGGGAAGGGATGGGAAGTGGAAACAAAGAGGAGGCAACAATGCTTGATAAGAAATGTACTCGTTATGTTGCCCATGTAATTGTAACTCCTCTGTACGATATTCTCACAATAAAAAAAAATAAAAAATATATTATTTCCAATACATTGCAAATGGTTTTGCTGCTGATTCTCAAGATGGACATATGCACTAATAAGGTGCAGTATAAATTAAATGCAGTGTTCTCTATAAAAAGGCATTTTCTGATTAATTCAATATTCCAGTTTCAAATATTAGAAAATAATAAAAATAGAAGTATCTATTAATTATAAACTTATTTTCATCAGATAATGTAATTTTATTTTTTTTTAATTTTTATTTTTTATTGTGAAAATACTGTACAGAGGGGTTACAATTACATGGGCAAGATAATGAGTACATTTATTATCAAACATTGTAGCCTCCTCCTTTGTTTCCTCTTCCCATCCCTTCCTATCCTCCTCCTGCCCCCCACCCAATCCTCCCTGCCCCCAGCCACCAAAGCTCTAAAGTTCGTTATTGACATAATGACTTGTACTTCTCATTGTTGCAATGGGTCCACCTGTATCCCTATTTAAATGACGTTTTTCCCCTTCCCCTCCACAAATTATACCGACATCAAATACAGTGAAAGCAGGGGTTATACTGTGGGGGAGGGACATACAAAGCAACAAAGAAATAATCTTATAAATATGTTAGAAACAATGGCATGAAAGAAAAAAAAATTTGAATACATATCTTAGGGTTCATTTCCCTATATTAATTATAAACTTTAAAGATTAAAAAAAGTACATCTCAGAAGGAAGCTTATAGATATTTTTAATTGATATGATCAAGTGGAAATTCTAGAAGCATTTATTTACTTTGATTATTTCTCTTAATTTATCTGATGATGCTAATAATTTTTCAGGAATATAAACAGATGTAACTTTTCTGAAATGATTCATGCTGAAGTGATAAAATTATAGATTTCTCTTGAGAGTGGAGACAATTACAGTAAATTTATATTACAATACAAATTACCTAAAGTCTCCACCAATGGGGAAGTGATTTTTCACATTCAGGATGATCTCTTTCCATTCATAACAGGGAGTTTTACAGCATTGAAGTTCCTAAAATAAAACAACGAAAACAAATCTTACTAAATAATTATTTAAATACCCTAATTACAATATTAACTATTAATTATCCTTATTTATAAACTTTAATTATAATGCAAGCTTAAAAATATTTACAAGATGTCCAGTTAAATATTACACTCACAATTTATGTAATTCTCCCCCCCCCTCCCCCGCCAAGTCCCACAATACTATAATCTGTGAGGGAATGGATAAAAACTTTATTTATCAGTATGTGGTTACCCACATTTGTAACTATAGCACTTGGGACAATATAACAGGAGGATCTTGAATTTTAGTCAGCTATATAGCAAGAAATTGTCTTTAAAAATAAATTCCATAAAGATAGTAAATTACAGATAATTACCTTTGGATATGATTTATTAAACAGCAAATAATTACAACAGTGAAACCAACTAAACACCATGTTGGAAATGAACTACATACAATTTTTGAGGGAGAGAAGTAGGGAGGAGAAAAACGGAGAGAATGAGGGAGGGGGGTGGCACTGTTCAAAAGTAAATGTACTAATTACCTGACTTATGTAACTGTAACCCCTCTGTACATCACCTTTACAATAAAATTTAAAAACTTAAATGAAAGAATTTAAAATGCCTGCTGAAAAATCCATATAAATATTATAACTATATACACAAATGTATGTATACTCATCACTTACCCATTTCAATATGTGAATGGTTTTTGTTTTAGTTATTTTGAGGCACTATGACTGAACTCAGGACCCCACGTTTGCTAGGCAACCATGTTATCGTATCCTCGTCCTCACTTTTCTCTTTTCTTTTTAACTTGTATTTCACATTAACTTTGCCTTTGCTAGCCTTGATTGTCCTACTTCTCCTCTAGGCATGACATCCTCTGTGAACTATGCTAAACATATTAAATTTATTAATATTATAATACTATTTTTCAAAATAATGTGTCTCAAATTGACCATCTTAAATTTTTTTAATTGACCATCTTAAATTTTTTTAATTTTCATGGAAGACATAATATTTTGGAAATAATAAGCTATATGTATACATGATACATCTAGGTATAGTAGGTGTGTATGTGTATATCTTTGAGTATGTGTGTTTCTGTATATAAAACTTGTGCTTGACTGTGTCATGATAATTATATTGTGGAGGCTATACCTGACATAAGTATCATAATAAATACATAGAAAAAGATGAGAGTTACAATTATCCATTGTAAAATGCAAATACTAGATTTGGAATCTGGTTCTCAGCTGATGCTCTACTATTTGAGCCAGGCTTCCAGTATTACAGTTAGTTGGTTAATTCAAGATAGAGTCTTGCAGACTTTTCTACCTGGGTTGGCTATGAAGAATAATTCACTGGATCTAAGCTTTTTCAGTAGCAAGGATTATAGATCTGAACCACTGGCAAACAGTTTATTCAGAGGAATTCTGTGGGGAAAGTGTTCCTAGAAATTCTGTATTTTTAAGAAGATAATGTCTTGCTTTATTCTATTTCTCCATTATTATCTAATCTACTATTCAGTGATCTAAGACCATAATGTTTAAATGGGCAAGTAAACAAAGTTCCATGAGTTACAAGTGTCTGTTTTTCTGCCTTGCAATCACATTGGTAATATACAAAAATATCCTTAAAACTGTATATGGTAGCTATATGTTGCTCTAGAGAATTTATGTGAGTTGAGGACTCAAATGGTTTTTCTTTCTTGCTATTGTTTCTAACATATTTATAATATGATTTCTTTGTTGCTTTGTATGTCCCTCCTCCACGATATTAACATCTGTTTTCACTGTATTTGATGTTGGTATAATTTGGGGAGGGGGAAAGGAAAAAACAAATTGTTTAAATAGGGATACAGGTGGACCCATTGCAACAATGAGATGTACAAGACTTTAGGTCAAAAAAGGAACTTTACAACTTTGGTGCAGAGGGAAGGGGGACTGAGAGTGTGAGGGGAGGATGGGAAGAGATGGAAAGGGGAAACAAAGGAGGAGGCAACAATGCTTGATAAGAAATGTACTCTTTACCTTGGCTCATGTAATTGTAACCCCTCTGTACGGTATTTTCACAATATTTTTTTAAATAAATAAATAAAAAGAAAAGTAACACATTTTCATTATTCAAGAGGAAAACAAAAAATGGACAACATACATCTCAGTGGCAAATGCTAAGTTCCTGTTTTAGGTATCACTGTCTAATAAACCAGTCTCTCCATGTGGGCATCTCCATATGAGCTTCTCACTGCTCTTATACTACTGGCCTCCTTGAGCCTGTCTTTCTACTCATTATTGCCTTCAATACTGCAAATGTTTTATAATCCATATGGAAATTTAGATATAAAAATTACAAAAATTTTTACATTGTTAACTATATATCCATGGCAGAAAATTGCATTTGGAGACCAGTGAATCTTAATATCAAAACCATTTTCATAGGAATCTAAATGTCCTTCTTCCTCATATTTTAGATGTGAACACCATCACCTTTCAATAAATGGCAGCATTACCATGAACTTTAGAATGAATTTGCTCTATTAACCTTCATTCTAAACAAGACATAAACATAGTCCCTTTAACTTAAATCACAAGTTCCCATGGGAAGAAATTTCAAAGATTTGGAGCCTTCTAAAGGCAAAAAAAAAAAAAGAGGAAATAATAGCCATGCTTATGAGACTCAAAAGTCTAACAATAGAAACAATCGCATATAAATAAGTAAAAATTACTTACGATTGCTTTAAAATTTGTGACTTCTCCCTTTAGACCAAAAGCCAGTGTAGTACCTCCTAGTCCATCCCTAGGTTTTGAAATTAATAGCAGTGAAGCTTCAGCTTGATGGATGAAGCGACTAGTAAATTTCATAATGAGGATAAATTCATTTCTATTTAATGAAGATAAAAGAGGAAACAATTTATTAGAAAAGGTCAACTGATAAGCTTTTATTCAATGTATACTATGTACCTGGTACCTACACTCTGAAATGCACTCACTTGTACAAAAATTTAAAGTCTGTAAAATCTAAATTTAACTTTCAAATATACACACACTTAAATTTTCTAACAGTGAACCACAGGAAATCATATATATATATATATATATATATTATATATACACACACATACATGATATATGATACATATGTCCTATGCATAGATAGATAGATAGATAGATAGATAGATCTTATGTACCATGTATATGCTTTAAAATTGACAATATTTTTTAGACCAAAAATGAGCATAGGGTCTCTTATTCCATTTTTAGGTTTTAAAATTAATAGATACATATATCATATATGTATTTATATTTGAATTATATATATTCATAGCATGTTTTATTAAATCTTTTATTAAATTTTATTTTATTGTAAAGATCCTATACAGAGGGGTTACAGTTACATAGGTAAGGTAAAGAGTACATTTCTTGTGGAACATTGTTACCCCCTCTTTGTTTTTTCTCCTACTATCCCTTCCTTCCCCACCTCCCCCACTCCTCTCCTAAGAAGTTGTAAAGTTCATTTCCAACATATTGTTTTATGAGTATCATTGGACAAACTCTTTTTATTATTATTATTGGTTTTGGTTACATAGAAACTGTGTATGAAAATGTATTAGAAAATCTAGAACTTAACAAATACCTAAACAGCAGTTAAAAATAAATTGAAGGTCAAATTCAAATAAAAGTAGCTAAGTAGGAATGTTTGTTGAGAGAAGTCTTCAATTAAAAGAAGAAATAAGGAAACAATATCCATTTCTCTTAATTTTCAGCCTTATAGAACACACTTGCAAAAAAACAAATCAAAGGATTTGGAGGAGGTTCTATTCAGCACTTATGAAATGAAAATGACTGTGTTGAAACTGGATACCCAAATGTTTTAAATGAAATTTAAAATGGCCTCTATTCCTAATTTGAGTTTGACATACTAAAGGCTACAATTCACAAAGTAGCTAAAATTAATGTTCAAGTTGAACCAAAATAGGTCAGGTAGTTATAATTTACTAAATTTAGTAAATAAAATCCAGGTAAAGTTCTGTAGCGGTTATCAAATTGGTCAACTCTTGTTAAACTGACACAACTGTTTTCAAATCATTTTTGTATTATTAAATAGGAGTATTTTCCATCATTGGAACAAATCAACATAGCAAATCTTATTTTTGATCTATGAAGACTCATATTGAAATCATACTGAATTTCTCAAATCCTTCCTGTGTTTTTCTTTTGTGATTTTTTTGAGGATTGGGATAGTTGTAGAAACATTAAACAAGTACCATAAGAATATAATTAGCTAAAAATGAAATCGCTATACTATTACCACTATTGGGAGGTACAATCATTCATATACATTGTATATCTTAGATCACTATATTTCTTTTTAAATACTATGTACACATCCATGCACAATGACAATGAGGTGATAAAGGAAAATTGGAGCTTCTTTGAAGAGATATTTTTAAACTTTTGCTCAATTGTTCTTTACTCTCTCCTAGTTTCTAAAATTTCTATAATGACATTTATAGGCAGAACAACTATACAAAATGATACGTTATTAAAAATGTATAATTTAGTGTGTAATAGTTCTGATTGCTGCAGGAAAAAGAATTGTAGAATATAATGTTATCTCTGTGGCCTACACACATGTTAATTAATTAAATTAAATGTATACATAAAAACTGCTGTTTATGCTATTTGGATTTTTAAAGATAAAATTAGTAAGAATTTCAGAAATATAGCTTTATCTCTGAGTGATTGTCTTTCATTATATTTTATCCATTTAAAAATATGTCACTCTTTTACAATTATAAAAATATTAAATGTCTAGAGTGAATATACTCAGTGAAGTAAAATCTTAAATAAAAACTCACTTCGGAAGAATTGTAATAGTGTTCCCTTCCTGGGTGAGAGAGAAGTCAGTAGCATCTCTCCCAACAAATGTAGCAGTATATATTAAAGTTTTCGTGCTTGGATTTTTCAATAGTATCTATGCAGAAGTAGAAAAGGTACAAATAAGTTGTTGAATTTAAAAACTATATAATTGCATATTTTAAAAATTGTTATCAAATAGTTATACAATCTAATCAGCAACTCTATCTTTTCTTATATGGCTGTCTTCTATATAGCTTGTCTATCTAGTTTATCTGAAGTCTGGAGGAAGAAGGAGTTTTCAACAAAGGAAGTGAAAGATGAAAATAACCTGATTATCACAGACTTGAAGACTAAAATTAATGAATTACATTTCATTTTTCTTGCAATGGGGGATTTTTAACTTGGAACTTACAGTTGCAATAGATGGATTTTTAACAGAGAACTTCCATAATCCAATTCAGAAAAAGATTAGTCTGTCTGCCCAGTGTAGAAAGGACTGTAGAGTTAAAGACTTAGCTCCAGGCTAAATGTGACAGTTTAGTTAAGCATTGAATGTTTAAGAGTTAACTATAATGAATTACTATTTAATGTAATTGATACTCCTGTCTCCGTATAGCTTAAATAGAATATTTATAATTCTTCTAAAATTTTATTTTAAAGCCAAAAGTCTGTTCCATTATAATTACAGCTCAAGTGCATTTAGTATCAAAAGTCCTTGAATATCATAGCAGTTAGGAAATTGTCACCATAAATATTGCTTAGCAAATTCTCTGGAGGTTTTTTTCTGATAAAATAAAAATAAATAAAATTAACAGAGAAAATCAGATCTCAATTTTTTTCTAAGAAAATAAATTAGAATAGGAGACTTACCCTTCCCTAAATTAAGCCATCTATACTTTGAGGGAAAAAAAATCTGAATATTCCTGATTTTTAACTAAATCCAAACATCAGTCATTGAAGATCATCACAGTGGATTACTGAAGATCAAATATGGGTAAGTTTCGCATCAGAAGTAAGTAGTTAGCTCCCTTGCTGATGAAACTTTCAGATGAATATTTAAAATAGTCTTAGGAAAGTATAAATTTTGTTTAAGCCAGAAGAATCTTAATTTTCATAAAATGGAAAAAGGAAAGAAGGAGTCATCCTTTTCTTATAAGCATTGATTCTTGGTGATTATTATGAAATCTTTTCCATTTTTCTGACCTTTACTTTCCTTTTACAATTAAGTTTGACAAGGAGCATTCAGTTTTTAATAAAACCAAAACACTTAGACCCTTCATTTTACTTCTTGTTACTTTTGAGCTAAGAATGAAACATTTAAAAATCTCTTGTAAGTCTTTAATTCCTTATGTCTTTTGGCCCAAAGACCTCTTACCTGGCCTACTGCAGTGTCATATAGAGTACAAAGAAAGGGTACCACCCTCTTGGGGAGGAATGCAGGGAGCCTTTCATACATGTAAACACAAAGCATTAGCATCAAAATAGGATTTGGATCACAAATATCGGTGGCCTAGTTTCAAAGGAAAGAAATATGTTAGAAAGTATACAGAAAAAATGCACAAAAGAGGAAAACATAGTATCCAATTATTAGATTACTTTAAGATACTTAAGTTATGTCAAAAGATGAGGATATTGAAAAATATACAGAAAACAAACTATTATTTTGAAGGAGAGTCGTTGACCTAAGGGTTAAAAGATGAATTAGACATATTGTAATTAGAACATTGCAATGCCTCATAAAACTCAAAAGACTCCATAAAAGTGAGCCAGCACTTGCAATAATATGACTGAAGTAACTAACGTGTCATGTTTGAGTATCTAATTCATGAAAAGAAAAATGACAAGTACACAAACTACTGAAGTAGCAGATGATGAGATTTTTAGTCAAAAGCTCATAGGAGACAATGTCGAAGTAGATCTCAAAGAATGTTTGGCCTTTCAATAAATGTCTAGTATGAAGGAGAGGTTGTATTGTATCAGAAAGGTTAGTATCCCAAAGCAAGGATATAGAGAAATACCATCTTTGTTAGGAAAGAAGTAGAAATTGGACATGTCTAAGGTAAGGGATAAGCAATTTCATAAAGTACAGATAAGTTCTGGGGTCATACTGTGGAGGTTCTGGAGGCCAGAATAAGGGATTTCATTCAGGCAGGGTATATGGTAGTTAGGGAAATACTTTGTTAGAACAGCCAAAACTAGTGGAAAATGTAACTACAGTAATACACAAGATAAATTAGTGATAGTGTTTAAAATTGATTGGAAATAAAATCCGAAGGTACAGAGGAATAATAGGACAGAGAATAAACATACCAAAATGGAAAGTGAAGCCAAGAGCACAATCAAGAGCAAAAGAAGGTAAGCTTCCAGCCTAGGCTTCCAGCTCAGAGTGCCTCTGAGCTCTTAGAAAAAGGTAGAGGAAGTGGAAAGATTATATATAGCATGTTTGTAACAAAGAAGTATTGGAAATGGTGTGAGGCAGGTACCCAAAGACAAAACAACAAAACAAAACAAAAAACCATCACAAGTAAGTAAGGAACTCTGTCATTGCCATTGTAAAGGTAACTCTCTGCAATTTCTGCAAAATGGATATGAAAATTTCTTATGACTTAGTGGCATATACTCAAGTCAGCAACTGAAAATGACCTGGACCCAGCCTGGAAATGCAAATAGAGTTAACCAATATCTAATGTTTTATACAATCGATTGTGAAATTTGGCAGCAGTTTCCAGAGAATGATGATAGCCCCTTTGGCCATCTGTTAGTTTACATTTCCTCATGCACACTTGTCCTTTGGAAGAAGGAAAGGCTTTGCCAACTAGGAGCATGTCTTTTCAGTGAAGGTGTGAAGTCCCTGGGGAAGACATTAATAGTAAAATAAAACAAAATGTGGAGCAAACAAGTATGTCTTTGCAGGGTAGTTCTGCTTAAAAGTATGATTTGAGGAACACATAACTTTATACTGAATCCCAAAGTTTCTCACCAGTATTGTATGGTCTCTTATGCTTCGATAATTATTTGTGATAAGAACAAAAGTAAAAACAAAACACAAGATATAGATCTGATCTAAGGAACATCAGTTGGCCCTTTTCCCTTTATGAAAACAGTGCTTATCTATTGGATTAACAAAAGAGAAAAATAAACTTCAGTAGTTTGGATGTTGAATGCCCCTCAGATGCCCATGTATTAAAGGCTTGATTCCCAGCATGGTACTACAGGAAGGCGATAACTTTAAGAAAGGATGGTTTTTCCATAAAACTAAGGAAAATCAGTCATGCAATATCCTCAATATATGCTATTTTTCCACATTCTCTAGTCTGTTCACACTATTTCCATTAAGCAAACAACTTCTCTCAGAGTACTACTGATTAAATCCAATACATCCTCAATTCTACTTTTTTTTTGGCCTACATTTCCATTAATATTTAATCAAGTGAGTCAAACAGCTATCATTTTTTGGGGAGAGGGGTCGGTTGTGGGGCTTGAACTCTGGGCCTGAGCTCTTCAGCTTAAGGCAAGTGCTCTAACTACTTGAGCCACAGTACCTCTTCTGGTTTTCTGGTGATTTATTGGAGATAATAATCTCACAGACTTTCCTGCCCAGGGCTGACTTTGAACTGTGATCCTCAGATCTCAGTGTCCTGAGTATCTACCCTTATGTAACAAGAAAAAAACTTAATAAAGCAGCATATATTTTGATTATTATTATTGAAAACTTGGTGTGAAAGGCTAAATGAAATTACTATTTACAGGTTAACATATAATAAAAATGTATATAGGTACTATAATCTCTACAAAAACATATTTATTGCAAAAGCAAAGCAAAAGTGCCATGCATTGGGAACTCATAATCTTAGCTACACTGAAGGCTGAGATCTGAGGATCAAGGTTTAAAGCCAGCCTGGGAAGGAAAGCCTGGGAGACTATTTAATTTCTAACCACCAAAAAGCCAGAAATAGAACTGTGGCTCAAGTGGTAGAGTACTATCCTTGAGCAAAAGAACCCAGGGACAGTGCTCAGGTCCTGAGTTTAAGCCCCAGGAGTAGCTAAAAACAAAGGCAAAACCAAAATTTTTCACGTTGTGACATTCAATCAGGAGATAATTCAACATCTACATTCTAATAATTCTTTTCCTATTATTTCAGTTTTGATTGTAGGTATATTAATAATGTTCTCAAGCGTGATTCTTATGGTTTCTGATATCTGGACTAGAAGTATTTCTTTAATATGTATAGACAAGTGTGTATATCTACTAAAATTATACTCTCAGTTGTATAATTATATACAACTTGGAATAATTAAACATGACTTTTTAAATATGGAGTAGATTTCTCAGGAGACATATTTCCATTTCCATACTTCAGCAACATCCCTCTTTCAATTCAGATTTAGAATCTTTGAACTAATAAATGAACAAAATAATAATGAATAAGTGAACAAAAGAAACTCATAAAATGTGTATATGAATGTGTGCTGAAAAAAGGTACCCACCTGTATGTTCAAGTCGAAGTTAATTTCCCGAAGACTGTTCACAATAATTAGGCAATTGTGTAGATAATGTTCAGCACGTACTGGTTGTGTATACATATGTACAAAATAAGGTTCAATCTGAAAAAGAAAGTAATCAAACCTATTATTGATGGAATAAAAACTGCTGCTGTTAAAATGTCATCTGTAGTTCAACAAGGAATTATTGAAATCCTAACATTTGTAGTAGATTATAGCAATCCAAAGGCAAAAATAAAAAAATGTCAGCACTATCCAAGTTCATGTTTTTTACTTAACACACTTAAAAGATGTGCTCTAAATAAAAGTACTTCAAATTTTAACCATCAAATTCTCTAAAATAATACAAGACTCTTATGCATTGAAATAATACTTACCAAAAATGGGCAATAAGATCCCAACAAAGTTGCAAAAACAAGCCCATCTGTAAGGTCTACATCAAAATTTATTATCCATCTCTCACCAGGAACAAATCCTATTTTGAAAATGAAATAGAACAGATATTACAGTATTTTACTTGATGATCAGATATAGAAATTTGACCAATGGTCAAAGAATACTTTACCATTTCTTAGAAAACAAAAAACATAATTTTGGAAAGAAAAATAATATAAAAACATCAGAACATTAATACTATAAAATATATCTGTAAAATTTAAATAGTTGCTACAAGCATAATTACAACATGAAGCATTTTGAAAAGTACCCTACCATGCTTTATTGAGAGAAAAGTCTAATATTTGAAAATTAACTCATTCTGTTGAATTATTTTACATTCAAATCTTTGTCCAATGTTCATCAACAGGCATGAATAAGAAGGCTCAAAAACATGCTATTGCTTTCTTACAGTTTCAGTAGCAATCTTTATTGGATGGAGAAATATATCTACCTATAGAGAGTACTGAAAAGAATGTAGATTTATGGCTTAAAGGAATCTGAAGTAATCTATAAAAGACACAAGATATAGCCGTGCAATGGTGGCTTATGCCAGAAAAGCCCATGAACCTAATCTCCAATTAACCAGGAAGAAGTTGGAAATAAAGTTGTGGCTCAAGTGGTAGAGTCTAGCCTTGAATGCAATGGCTAAGAGATAGCACCTGAGTTCAAATTCCAGTATTGGCTTACATAGACAAAAAAGTTATATATACATATGTGTGTGTGTGTGTGTGTGTGTGTGTGTGTGTGTATAAGATGGAAGTTATAAAAAGATTACTAATAATAGAAATTGTTACTATGTTGACATTGGAACAAAAAGTGAAAGTATGTGGATACTGAGTAAATATTAGGAAAACTGTCCTAAAACAAGTAGACAGATGATTTTAAACAAGAGATAATTGATTCTATTGAAATTCCAGGGGCTCATACTTGTAATCCTAGCTACTCAGGAGGCTGAGATCAGAGGATCATAGTTTGAAGCTAGCCCAGAAAGGAAAGTCCATGAAATTCTTATCACCAATTACTTACCAAAATGAAAAACAAAAAAGGTACAAGTGAAGCTGGGCTCAAATTGCTCAGAGACAGTATCCAAAGCACTGAGTTCAAGCCCCAGGACCAGCACAAAATAAAAAAGTCCAAGATTCTTCAGTTTTAGATAAATTACCTGATATAAAAAGGGGGGAGTGTCCATAGTGCCATCAAATTCTTTATTTCTATTTTTTGGGATGAAGCACCCAAGATAGGAAAAATAGGACACGTTCATCGCATTTATGTGAACTTCACAAATTAAGATTGCATTACAACAGGAAGTGCTAAACTTTCGGGGGTGGGTTGCTATGAATAGAACCCAGGGCTTTGGGCATACTAGGCAAGTACTCTACCACTTGAACTATACCCTCATCCTCAAACTTAAGGTTGGTTTGAACCACAGATGTCCTAGACCCTTCACACAAAACCGCTGCCTACTTTTTCACCTGTGATTCTTTAACATGAAACACTTATATCGGATCTCTATAGCACATTATCCTACTAAAAATTTTAGTAAACACAGATCACAAGAACTTTTCAAGTAATACAGAACAAAATAACACTTTTATATATTTCCTGACATAAACTTATAAATAACTTTGATATAGGATGTAATAATATCACAGTAATAATTCTAATTCCAAATTGTTAATTCTCAGAATGATAACGTAAGTATACCTCTCAAGGTATAACTGACAAGTAAAATCGTATTGTGAGATTTTTTTATATAATTACACATTGTGTAATTCTTCACATGATCATGCTAGTTTGCATGCTAATAACTTCACATAATTAACATTGAGTGTGTGAAACACACATTTTATCATCATCTATTACAGACACTAGAGAAAGCATACATTCCCTTAAAGGCATTTAGCCTTCAGAGTCTAAGGCTAGTTTCAAATGTCCTCGAAGGTTTGCAATTCAATCCAATCATGGAAAGGTTTGCATTACAATCCAATCATGAAAGAGTATATATAAAGTCTGAGTAAAAGCCACGATCCTACCTCAGGTAGGGGAACATGTTCTGCAATTTCACTTCTTTGTTACTACAGACTTGCAGGAAAACTCTGTGTCTGAAACTATTGCACCTTGAGGCTTTATGTTCTGGTACTCACTGTGTACTTGGCCTCTACCAATTCACTAATAATTCTATCTCCATATTTAATGTCTACCACACCTGAGCATTATTACAATTATCTCCTTTTGTCTCAAGCACTTGCTCTTCCTTGGTTTTTGTTGAAACAAAAGCACTTTGTTTCCCTGAAAGCACAGCTTTCTAAGAAATTCAAGAAAAATCAGAGATTCGCTGTCTTTGTGAATTTGTCATTGTAAAGTGGAACAAAGGTTTTATTTTGGTTTTTTTTTTTTTGTTTCTAGATTTTATTTCTCCACATAGAAACAGTGGCATCTACTTTTATTCAACCCATCACAACATTGGAACTATTTTTATATTACATGTCAAACACCAGTAGGCATGGACTGCTGTTGTTCTCACTTTCAGTGAGAATAGAATAGCAATGATCATCCAGAACAATGTTGGAAAGAAGTAAAAACAACACCTGAAAGCTCTTCTCTAATCTCTCATCCCCATGCTGTGTCTTGTCATTTATATCCAAGGGTGCTGCCAGTCACTCTCTCCCCTTTGCTGTTGATTTTCTCTGTATGATGGCTCTCTTGATAAAGGCTATTGTTTGTAATTACACTCCTTCTAAAAGTTTTGTTATCCGAAGTGAGTAAATTGGCAGCACTGGCATCAAATGGATGCTTACCAAAAATGTAGAATTTAGGCCTCATCCAGTACTCACTGAAATACAAAACCACCTTAATAAAATACCCAGGCGATTTATGTTCACATTTCCATTTGAGAAGTGGAAATCTAAGGTTTTGGAAAGGGAATAAATTATCTGACAGAGCCACTATTGGTCAGGAAACACATAATTGAAGTGATTCTCAACATATTTTTAAAATTTTAACTTGGAAGTTACATCTTTTAGTTCTACACCACATTATTTCAGAACCCCAGGTATATTAAAGTAGTAATGATAGTGCTAATCTTAAAGAGTATTGTGGATTGGGGACATAGCTAGTAAGTATAAAATTTAATTATTTAATGCTCTGAAAAAGTAAGGATGTATAAGCACCTATTTTTATAACTATCATAAATATCATAATTGGCATATAAATTCTATTTTAGTTGATTATAGCAACACATTTTATAATAGCTTTATTGAGAAATAATTTACATAACATAATTTCATCCAATTTAATTGTTCAATTCACTGTTGTCTAGGATATTTGGAATTGTACAATTGTTATTACTATCTATATTCAGAATATTTTAATATTTAGTTGGCACGTAATTCTCTATTTTATGGGGTAGAGTGTAACATTTCAGTAGATGAAAATAATGTGTGATTATCAAATTTAGATAATTAGCATATCTATTGCATCAAAAATTTATAATTTCTTTGTGTTGAGAACATTCAAATCCTCTCTTCCAAGTATTTTTAAATAAATATCTAAGGAGCAAATTATCCAATAAAAATAGGCAAATAAAGCTTGACACAATGTCTCACACCTGTAATCCTAGCTGCTAAAAAGGCTGAGATGTGGTTCACAATTCAGAGTTGGCCTACACATAAAAGTCCAAGTAACTCCATCTCTAAGATAAGTAGTAAAAAGCCATGCTGGAGGTGTGGTTCAAGTTCTAAAACAAGCCAAATAGTGATTGGCTTTGAGTTCAAGCTCTGGGACCACTAAAATAAATGCACAAATGACTTGAATATACATTTTTCAAGTGAACTAGAAATATTCAAAAATTCATGAAAAAGTATTCATCATCTTTATTCATCAGGGAAATTAAAATTAAAATTTTGCTAAGATTCCGTGTCACCTGAATCAGAATGGATCTCATCAAGAAAAGAAAACAAATACTGGAAAGAAGATATGGGCAAAAAGCTGTTATACACTGCTGGTGAGAATGTAACTTAAGATAACCACCATAGAAATCAGTATGGAGATTCTTTGTAAAATAAGAATTTAGAACTACCAAATGATGTACAATGCCAATCCCAGTATTCACTAAAAAGATTCAAATTCCATTTACTACAAATTAACTGCATACTCAGGTTTGCTGCACTACTATTTATAATATCTAAGTTATAGAATCAACTTAGGTATTTATCAATAGATGAATGAATAAAAGAAATGCATAAATATATATTTATTATTAAATCATAAATAATGTCATCTATGGAAAAGTAAAGACTAGTCAAAATGACAAATATCATATATATACATATATATATATTTGTGCTTATTTGGAACTCATAAAATAAGATGTGAAAGTTAAAAGGAGGAGGCTCTTATGGATATAGAAAGGAATAAGAGGGAAGGTAAAGGGGAGAAGAGAGGATAATAGAGGGGTTGTATGGCCGACATACAACATATTGATATATGAAAATGTACTAATGAAGCTCAATACTTTATACAATTAATATATGCCAATAAAATAAAACATTATCAACCTTGAAAGGCTAGCAAGTGACTAAAGAAGCCACCCAATTTTAGAAAAGAAATCAGTGATATAGAAGGCAGAGACAATCTTAAATTATCCCATATTGAAATAAAATAGTTTTAAAAAGATACTTTACTGAATGCTGAACACATTATCAGTCATTAAAGTAACACAATATACACATAAATGAGATACCACTTCATGCCATCTATTGACTATAATATGAAGAAGACAAGCCATTATTAAATGTTCATGAGGATATATAGAAATTGGTATTCTTCATAAATTGGTAATAAGTATGTAAAATAGTGTGATCATTTTTAAGGTAAAGTGAATGCTTTTCAAAATGTTAAACATTCACATATTAGATGACTCACTTATTTTACATTTCTATAATAATAATGAAGTAAACTGAAAATTTTTCCACAAAAAATTATACAAATACTGTAGCAATATATTTATACATGTAAAAGCATGTAAAATTGTTCTTG